ATTTATTTATTTATTTATTTATTTATTTATTTATGGAACTTCTATGCTGCCCCATTCGCCGAAGCCTCGGGGCAGCTCACAAACATAAATAAATAACATCCTATAAAACAATATAATTTAACAGTATAAATTAAGTCACCCTGGCCAAAGAATAAAATAAATAAATAATATTAACAATTAAAATAAAGTTTGAATAAAAAGGTTTTCGCTTGGAGCCGAAAAACAAATAACGACAGCGCCAGGCGGACCTCTCTGGGGAGCGCATTCCATTTTATGGGGCACCACCGCAGAGAAAGCCCTCCTCTGGGTACTCACCCTCCTAATTTCCTTCACGGAGGGTTCCCGGAGAAGGGCCTCTCCCACAGACCTCAGGGGGTGGGCGGGTGGGCATGTGTGAACGTGTTTATTTATTATTTAAAACTTTTATATGATGTCCCTTATGCATGGCATCTCAGGATGGCTTGCAGTCATTAAAATCGAATCCACTAAAACAGGGGTCCTCAAGCTTTTTCTCCAGGGGGCCAGTTGAAAGGTGCCGGCGATGGGTGCAGACCGCCAAGGCGGTGGGGGCGGGGGGCACAGGCCAGGGTGGAAGGGGCGTGGGCTGGGCTGGGCTGGGGCGGGGGGTGTGCATGCAAGTGCGCGCGTGCAGAGATCGGAGAAAACGATCTCCTTGTGAGCAAGCCGCCACTGGGCACGTGCACAGCGAGGCACCGGCTTGTGAGCTAGGAGATCCTTTTCTCCGAGCGAGTCCAAGACAAGCTCCTCCCGAGCAAGCCACTTCCTCGCTGCGCACAAACGGCGAGTCCAGAACCTCTATGGCAGGCCAAATAAATGGGCATGGTGGGCCGGATCCGGCCTGCAGGCCGTAGTTTGAGGTCCCACGCACTAAAACAATCTCTAACAGTAATAACATACAGCGAATAAAAATAAATTAAGTCAAACAGTGACTGTACATTAACATACTAACTTTAAAAATAACGGTTAAATAAGAAGTTTTTGACCTGGCGCTGAAAAGCATATAAAGTCGGTGCCAGGCGAGCCTCTCCGGGGAGCGCATTTCACAGTCAGGGTGCCACCGCGGAGAAGGCCCTCCTCTGAGTGTTCGCTCCCCGGGTGTTAGGCGTGGGAATCCAGCAGATTCCCTGGGCTCGCCTCCCTGGGCTCTGGTCCACTTTGCAGCACCCTGATTCCACACCCGCTGGCTGTGCCAGGCGCGGAAGGAAGCTGGTCGCTGGGAATGGTGCCCAGTGCAGCCCCTCACAGTGCCCAGCCCTGCTGCGTATCCCCCCCTTTTCACACTCCTCCCCTCTCCTCGTGTGACTTCCTAGTTTGTGGCAAACACTAATTGCACACTAATTTCTTTCCAAATGCACAGACTCGAAGCTTGTGCATAAATTCCCAACAACAATTTAGTCACTATTACATCCACATTGAGCTATTAAGAGGAGCCACAAGACGGGCACACTTAAAAAGTTGCAGTAGCAAATTACACGTTTAACATAAGATGTGCTTTAGCCCGAAGAACTAGATCCAGGGTGGTGCAGGGGTTAAGAGCATGGGACTGGGACTCAGATGATCTGGGTTCCAGTCCCCGCTCAGCCATGGAGCCAACTGGGTGGCTTTGGGCCAGTCACAGACTCTCAGACCAGCCTACCTCACAGGGTTGTTGCTGTGGGGATAAGATTGAGAGGAGGAGGAGAATGATGTGAGCTGATTGGAGTTTATGAGAAAAAGGGTAGGATATAAATCAGGAAGGAAGGAAGGAAGGAAGGAAGGAAGGAAGGAAGGAAGGAAGGAAGGAACGAACATAGGAACATTTTGGTTTGTTGCTGTGGACTTTTTGTCTTGTCCATCACAGCTATCTAATGAATTTCCTCCTGGATGCCACACTGGGGATGCTCGGGGTCTGGACTGGTGTGAAGGTGGTGTCCTGGATTGTAGAGAGGCGGAAATACACCCATCTTGTCTTTGGCGAGTATGGTGAGTCCTGTCCCGTCCTCCTGCTGCATGTTTTCCCTGAGAAATGTGTTCAGATACCTCCCATAACAAGGTACACGTGCACGGCTTTAAAAGTCTGAGCATAGCCTAAATGTTGTGAGAGAAAACAACCATATACATTTGAGAAGATTGTGCATCGTTATTCTTATTGCTCTTGGTATTATTTTTACTAATATTATCATATCGTTGTCACATTAGTGGTGTATAAGTATTGGACCGGGACTCAGGGGATGCGGGGTCTAGTCCCCACATGGCCGTGAAGTTCTCTGAGTGACTTTGGGCCAGGTACTGACTCTCAGGCTAACCTACCTCACAGGGTTGTTGTGAGGATAAAAAAAGGAGAGGAGGAGGGTCAGTTAAACCATTTTGAGTTCCTTGCAAGGAGGCAAAAGGTGAGTCAGGAATGGAATGTAATAAACATTTCTGCAAATTTATTTTCCCTGCATTGCAGGATTTAGGAAGCTGCCTTCAACCATGTCAGATTTGACCCCTGTAGGCCAAATCCTGCAGAGATGCAGAATGACAACTTCAGGGACCAAACATGGTCATCTGGCGTTCTGCACCAAGCCATCTCTCTTTCTCCAACACCAGTTGCTTGTCATTTGCAGGCTCCTGTGAAGGTTTTCCCCACTCTCAAAGCTTGAAATGCCACCACTGTGCTTCAGTCAGGAGCAGTAAGAGCTTTAAGCAAAACTAAGCGGGTTTTCTTGGAATGTGGCACCCCGATTATGGAATCAGCTCCCCAGAGAGGTGTGCCTGGTGTATACCTCTTTATTCCCTTCGGCACCAGCTAAAAACCTTTTTATTTACCGAGCAATTATTTATTTAGCGTATGGCATATATTGCCAGGGAATCTACAGTGTTTGCACACAGTAGATGCTCTGGCCCCGGCTGTTGCTAGTCTGTTATTCTGCCGGTGCACCACGGGGGCCGAACTAGCTTAGCACCGGTTGGCCAGCGACGTACTAGTTGAAGTCAGTCCAGCCGGGGCTTTTCTCCGCTGATCCTCTGCCAAGTGCATCCAGGCAGATCCAGTGAAGCCGGCAGGTTTCCCACTGAGGAACGGTGGTCCCTATTTATCTCCTCGCAGATGTTGCGGTTTTGAACTGCCAGGTGGGCAGGAGCTGGGGCGAGCGATGGGGGCTCACGCCATCCCACAAGGCTGGGCTCGAACCGCTGGAGTGCCAGCCATCTCTGATCGACAGTTCTAGCGTTGTTAAGCCGCTGTGTCCCCCATTTACCCAGTATTTTAACTGTTACATTTTTATCCTTACCTTTTATATTGTATTTTCTACTGCTGTTGTTCCTCTAGACTGATCTGATGCTGTTGCCATGAGTTTATTGGAGTGTATTGTTGCCATTTTAGCTGATGTATGAATTTGGTTTGATTTCATCTCATTTATTACATTTGTATGCCACCCCATAGCCCATAGGGTTCTCAGGGCAGCTTACAACAGAACCAAAAAAAGGTACATATGCTATAAAAATGCAAGCTACAATCCTTCAGTGCTCAGCCTTCCTTATGGTCCAGCTTTCACAGCCATACATTGCAATGGGAAAACCATAGCCTTGACTATACGCACTTTTGTCAGCAGGGTGATGTCTCTGCTTTTTAGTATGCTGTCTAGATTTACCATAGCTTTCCTCCCCAGGAGCAAGCGTCTTTTAATTTCTTGGCTGCAGTCCCTATCTGCGGTGATCTTGGAGCCCAAGAAAATAAAATCTGTTACTATCGCCATTTCTTCCCCATCTATTTGCCAGGAAGTGAGACGGCCGGATGCCATGATCTTAGTTTTCTTAATGTTGAGTTTCAAGCCAACTTTTGCGCTCTCCTCCTTCACCCGCATGAAGAGGCTCTTTAGTTCCTCTTCACTTTCTGCCATTAGGGTGGTATCTTCTGATGAGGTTGCTGATATTTCTCCTAGCAATCTTAATTCCAGCTTGTCATTCATCTAGCCTGGCCGTTTGTATGATGTGCTCTGAAATTGCTGCCTGCAGGAATTTATTGCAGTTTGAGAATCCATTTTTATCTCCTTTAAAATTATCAAAAAGCATTTCAGCTTCAGCTGACATAGGAAATTATCTCTAAATAGTTCTAGTATTTAGTAACTTCGGGAGGTAACAAAATGACAACTACTTCTATTTGTTCTTCCTCTGTATTTCTGAACTTGGCCTTTTGGAGTGTCCCCTGCATATCATTCCACTGGGGGGCGTCCGTTCCTATCCAATGGGAGCATGCAGTTTGCAAGCGTCTCTGCGCTTTGGTCTTCGTTCTGTGTTTGACCCACTAACGCTTCTTAAAGCCTTCTAGCATTGCTAGTTGCAGGTTACAGAGATGGAACAGGATGAGGCCTCGAAGGGGTTTGACTTGCTTTTCAAGAGATCATTTGGAAACCTGAGTGAGGCTTCCCCAGGTGTAGCAAAGTATTCCAGCTGTCATTGTGTGTTGGACATGAAACAAGGCAAGGTGCAAGAATGTGGAACTTGTCACTGGCTGCAAGATTGCAAATGTCTGGAAAATCCTGGCATGAATTAAAAAGCAAGCTTCTGGCCCCTAAGATCACAAGGAAAAGAGAAACTTGACGGGGGACATGATATCCTTCTATAAGTACTTCAAGGGGTGTCACAAAGAGGAAGGTCAGGATCTCTTCTTGTTGATGGCAGAGGACACGGAATAATCAGCTCAAGCTGCAACAACCCAGATTCAGGCTGGATATCAGGAAAAGCTTCCTCACTGTCAGAGCAAGACGGCAGGGGAACCAGCTGCCTGGAGAGGGTTGGGCTCTCCCACACTGGAAACATTCAGGGTAAAACTGGATAGCCATCAAATTGGTGTCCTGCAACAGCAGGGGGCTGGACCCCATGGCCTTCTTGGCCCATTCCAACCCTACTTTTCTATGTCTCTAGGAACTGGTCTTGGATACTTTCAAAGCCCTTCTTATTTTAACCTATTCATCATTTTAAAGCCAGCGATTTACCATTGTTGGCATCCAAAGGCGGCAGTCAAGTTAGCAAAAGCACAATTATTTTGAGGATAGAAATGCTCTTCTGTGCCCAGTTAAGGAACTATAGATGAAGCTGATGAAGAACCCCTACAAGCAGCAGCTGCTGGGGCTGTGGGTGGCTTTAAGTGCTTTGGCCTGAGTCTAAACTAAGCGAGGCTTGCCGGGTGATCTGTGGCCTCCTCGTGCGTGGGCTGATGCAGTGTGGGGGTGAGACACAAGTGCTTTGCTCCAGATGCGGAGTCATAAGGCAGGACCTGCATGTGGGTCAGCTCTGACCGGTTGTCATGGTGGCGTTCAAATATTTCCATCACAAGCCTTCCACTTTCTTAGTGCAAAGCGCCAAACTGAACTCCTTCTGGTGAGCTTGAAAAAAAGGACATAATCCGCCTTCCCCCGCCCTCCAAGGGAGATGTTTGCAGGGTGAATCATTTCGATAAGGCAGCACTTGCCTGCTTTAAACCCAAGCAAACGCTCCAGACACCCTCCGATGATGATGGGAAAGCATGGAAGAGAGCGAGGGGTGCTCCACAGCCTATTCATCCAGCGTTGTGAATGGGCCGGCTGGTACGTGGCTCCAGCCCTGGACTGTGAAGAGTCCGGGCCCTTCAGCAGATGCACAGCCTGCAGAAGGCTGAGATGGGAGTCTCCTTTTCCAGAAAGAGCAGGCAAGAGCACAGATAGCAAAGCACGTGGGTAGAGCAGGCGTGTGCGCTGTCCAGCCATAGGCAGCAGTTCCGATGTCATGTATCTCTTATTAATATTTCTATATTGCAATATCTGTTTAAAAAGGCCAAACGCAACGTGATGAAGCAGTCAAGCCGTAACACGAAAACATGAACCACAAAAGCACACGTCTTAAAACTATGTATTTTGAAGCTTGTGCCTTCACACCCTTCTAAGGATCAGCTGACGTTCTTGAGGGTGCAAATTGTAATGCTTGGCCGCAGCACAGGAGAATTAGTATGGTTTATTTCATCTCTATCATGCCCAGTAGCCGAAGCTCTCTGGACGCTTTGCAGCAGAAGGTCTTCCATGCATGTCCAACAAACAGATTTCTGCTGGCACTCCAAAAGGCCTCCCTGGCAGAATGCAATACCTTCTCAGGATCAAAGCAAGGGTCCTTAAACAGGTTAAGACTTGGAAGATGAAAAGTAAAGTTTGACCTTGGCCCAGCAAGCAATTGGCAACAGGCGCAGTTCCTTGGAGAGACGTGTAATCGGGCCTTGAAACTCTGCCCTGCTTAGCCACCTAGCTGCCCAGTTTTGCACTGGGTGAAGTTTCCAGGTGCCCTTCAGAAGTGTGCCCATGTAGACCATGCCAAGTCATGCGAACAGGGTGTCTGCAAGGAGTGGGTACCATGCCAGGTCCGACTGTGTCAGGAAGGGTCCCAGCTGGTGCACCAAGCACAGTGGTGCAAACGCTTCCTTGGGCAACTGGGAGCCAGTGTGTGGTGCTTGTTGCGGACCTAAGGCCAGGTGTAAATCCCCACTCAGCTATATAGCTATGGCGGTCCCTTTAGCACATCATTCCATAAGGGGAGCTGGAGTCGGTTAGCCCTGTCTGTGTGCCTGTTCAGAAGGGGCTCTGCAGACATGGAGTTCTTCCATGCAAGAGGAATCCTGGCCCAGTCCAGAGTTGCCGGGCTCCCCAGTCCCAATGGGGTGAAGCTCTGTGTCCACTGAACACAAGAGGGTGAGGTTAGTGGTGGTAGTTGCTGTTGTTCCATTGCATTTATACCCCACCTCTTTCCATCTGTGTGGAACCCAAGGTGGCTCACAGAGCTCCATTGTATCCTCACAACAACCCTGTGAGGTAGGCTAGGCTGGGACTGAGTGTTCCTGTGGTCTCTTCCATTGCAGGCTTGTGGGTTAGTGTGAGGCACTGGCCCCCTTGCTCTCAACTCTTAAGCTCACGGGGCTGTTGTGAAATAGAAAGCAACCCTGCTCTGATTCCCTGAGAGGAAAGGTCGGATATAAACCAAATGGATTCAGAAGCTGAAATGTCTCGGATTGGAGTACTCTCTCCCCAGGCAAAGAACTCCGGGCAACTAACCCACATGCCTCCCATGTGAACCTGTTGGTGTTGTAAGGGGGGCACTGCTCATGGTCACGTGGGGCCCCATTCCTGGTGAGCCCCCTGTGGCCAGCCTTCCTCCATGTCAGCTGGCCAGATGGCGGCTTTATCTGGGGTGGAAGGGGGCACTGCTCGTGGTCATGTGGGGGTCCGTGCCTCTTGAGTGCCCAGTGGGCCCTGGACATACTCACCAGTAACTCTGACTCAGGACTGCTGCAAAACGGGCTGGAGCCAACCCAGGAAAATGCAATGGTTTCCCACGCTCAAGTAGATCCATCACACATTCCTAATTTCGTCTCATCACTCCTAGTGACTGTGCTCCTTATCCCCTGTGCACACCTTCTCTTGGGACTTTCAAGCCAAGACCAACCAAACACCAAGCCTTTTCGGATTGGATTTATGCTTTCAACAGAGAGCAGCAACCCTGCCGTTCTCGGTGTTTCTGATTTCTGCACTGCTCTCTAAGCCCTGAGCGTCTCCGTGTGGGTGGGGGTGTTCCAGAAAGGCTCAGTAAGACAGCGAGTAGCATTCACAGCGCTTGCTTCCAGCTCAGAGCTTTTGCATTGGCAGGGATTTAAGATATTCCCGGGTGTGTAACAATTTGGAGCGAAAACCACTTCCTTACAAGGCAGTCAAATTCCAAACCTGCCAGGAGAGTAGCAAGCTGAGCTCAGAGGAGGGCGGGTGGCAAAGATCTAGAAGCACCCAACAAGCCAATATTGTCTTGTTGTTTTTGAACTTTCTAGCTGTTGTTGAAATGTCAGTTCTTTCCACTTTATTTTTTCCCTAAGGAAAAGCAGTATCTTGGGGGATAGAGGGAGGCGACCCTTGGCTTCCCAAAGGCTGTCGAACTAGAAGGAAGAAAACAGCTGTGTTCCACGCACCCCACAGCCACTGGCTCCATCAGACGTCTCTATCACTGGGACTTATTTTCTCTCTCTGTTCCCCCACCTGCTGCTGTCAGAATTCATAAAGCCCGGTTTTCTTTATTTTCAATGTTTTTATCCTGTCTTTTTTCCTTTTTTCCCAAGAACTCAAAGTGGCTTACCTCATCCCTTCTCCTCTCAGTCTAATCCCCACAACAACAACCCTGTGAGGTAGGTTGGGCAGAGAGTCTGGGAAAGTCACCCACTTGGCTCCATGGCTGAATGGGGACTGGAACCCAGGTCGTCTGAGTCCCAGTCCCATGCTCTTAACCACTGCCCACATTGGCCCTTGTATGTTCCATGTGTGCTTTGCCCATCGCACAAAATTCCATCGCTCTCAGCCTCACAGGAAGTTCCCAGGTGAGGTAGTTTCTCTCCATAGGTTTTCCATGCTTTATGCGGGCTTTCAGTCTGCCTGGACAACCGGCCCCTGGGATGAACCTTTCCAGGGCTCCTTCAGCAAACCTTTTAGTGCCAGGCTACATGTTCACATCAAGATCCGGGCATTCCTGGAGGAGTGCATGAAACCTCCTTCCACGTTTCCCCAAAATTCCAGTTCCTAGGGCTTATTTATTTCGTTCACTTATTCCGCAGTGCATCATCACTGAGCTCTCCTGAATCCTCTCCGACACCTCCAATACATGCTTCATTTGTAACCTTTTATTTCTGCAAGCCACAAAATATTTTTGCAGATGTCTTGGTGTTTCTGACCTGTGTGATCCTGGCTTCCTGGTTGCAGGGTTCACATCTGCTCTTTGCACGGTTGTTACAGTTATTGCTGACCTCCTAGCTCTTCGGCTTTTATTTGGGGCGGGCGAGGCATCCGAAACTTTGCTTTCTGCAGCCAGAAGCAGTGCGAGATAATTTGGACGGGTGGGCTGTGTTTGTCATATCCCAACAGAACTTGGAAAAGGGAATCAATTGGCAGTAGCAGCCGGGCGGTTACAGTTTTTGAAGAAATGTCTAATTTACATCCAGGCTTGAGACCGAATCTGGAAATACTTAGTGGGGATTGAGCAGCTGGGGGACTCTGAGGCCGCTGTGGTTTTGTTGTGAGAATTTTTCTTGGCATTAGCTGAACTGTTTGCCTCCAAGAGCCGTTGCACACCAGCTGGGGAAAGACGCTGCGCGCACGAGAACACAGAGTTCAAGCGCAGAAAGCAAACAATCCATTTGTTCCATTTCCCTGCCTCTTGTAAAGCCCGTGTTTTGTTTGAGACCCTAAAATGCTCTGTTTTGTGCATAGTGAGGATGTTAATACAGAAGAACGCTAGATGTGTAGCCCTTGCAAGCCGATTGGAGGCGTTCAGCCAGGGGTCTCTGTCTTCTTTCAGAGCCGTCTGTCAGCTCAGCCTTTTCTTAACCCCTCTGCTTCTAACCACACAAGTGTCTTCACCACTGCTGTCCAGTGTGGGTTGTGGGGTTGGCCATTCCTCATAGCTCAGAGACTGTCATTGATTTCCTCTGCCGTGTTGCATTCTGGGCTGTGCTTTCCCATTTGCATTTGCAGTGGGAATCTTTCGAGCAACTTTTGAGCCAGTGTGCCTAGTGGTTGGAGCACTGGATGGGGACTTGCATGTTCTAGTCCCTGTTTGGCCATGAAGTTCCCTGGGTGACTGTGGGCCAGTCACTGCCTCTCAGCCTAACCTACCTCACAGGGTTGTTGTGCAGCTAAAAGAGAGAGGAGGAGAGCTTTTCAAACTGCCTCGGGCTCCTTGGGAGAGAAAGAAATCAGGGTATCAATGTAATATGAGAATGTAATAACCTACAAAACGGGAAGAGCTTGCTGTAGTTGGAAGCTCTTTTCTTTCTCATTTATTCATTATTATTTATTTGCTATCGCTATATAAATGTATTTATATTCTTCCTTTTTTCTTCAAGGCGGTTCACAGTATCTTCTCTATGTTATCCTCACAACAACCCTGTAAGGCACGTAGGTTAGCTGACTGTCTGTGACAAGCCCAAAGCCACCCTGAGAGCTTCATGGCTACGTGGGAACCAGAATCCCTAGTTTGGCAGCTCCCCTGTCCAGCACCACATCACACCACACCGGCACCCGATTGCTTGCATTGTGCACATTTCGAAGCTGGCCGTGGCAAGGAAAAATGCTTTGTGCCTTTCAGGAGCAAGGAAGCTGAGCCTCGGGGCAAATCCAGTCCTCTCGGGCTTCCCTTGGAGGCCTCACCACTAATTGTGTGTAGGGGTATAGAATCACAGAATAGTAGAGCTGGAAGGGGCCCTGAAGGCCATCGAGTCCAAGCCCCTGCTGTTGCCGGACACCAAGTGACACCACCCCATTCAGATGCTGAACCAGGACGCTCAGCACCAACTAGCAGTGGTTCTCCAAGGCTTTGGGCACGATTCTTTCCTAGCACTGGCTGGAGCACCAGGACTTGGATCTTCTGTATGAAGATCATGTACTCAACCGCCATGGCCGCACACGTGGACCTCTGAACACCAGCGCATGAAGGCAAGGAAAGCCCCCCAAACCCCACAAATATCTGGAGCTGACTTTCTTATTTGCAACTTTTGTGTACTCCTCCATATCTAAGCAAATTCCAGAGCGATGAACAACTTCAACCCAAGCCTTCCTGGAGCAAGTTTCTCCAGCGTTGCACTGCGATGACTTTCTAGAACTTGCTCTTTGGTCCAGACTTGTCTGAGCCTTTGCTTTGCTTCTAAATCTGCTTAGGTCATTTTTGGAAACATAGCAATTGATTTTATATCCCCATAAGAAAACATCTGGATGTTTTCTGAATGAGGTGTAGATTTCTCCTTGTAAGAGAAGAATTTGAATGCACGTCAGCCGATGAAGAATAAATACTTTCTTTTTCTTGCTTACTCAGGTTTTCTCACTAGTCTTGGGCTGTCTTGATTAGCAGCGGCCTTGCGATCTAGTTACACACAGTGCAAGATGGCGTGGGTTCACACAACATGGTAAAACAACTGTACATGGTTCATGGGGCATTTGACTGGCTGTTTTCGGATCTTGTGTGTGCTCTAGATCAGGAGTGCTAACCCTGTTTCAGCCTGAGGAGCAGATCCTGAGGTGGTGGGTCGAGTCCTGGCCGTGGCAGCTGGGGCCAAAGACAAACTGGTGGGGAGCTAAAATTCCAAGGATTTCCACTTCAAACTCTTTATGCTGGTCTCCTTGGAGGAGCATTTCAACCTTTTGTAATGCGGACGGATGCATGCGAAACTGAGAACCACCCCATGCTGGGCAGCTGTGGGAAAGGCACCGGGCAAGGGGTGTGTGGTACCCAAGCTGGGCCAGATTTGGACCCAGCTGTGCTGGACGCATTGGTGGGCCTGAGCCCCAGCTCTGCCCCGGAAGGAGCAAGGCCATCCTCAGGTTCTGTTTCCAGCAAATTGCGAACACTGCTAGCCATTACTGCAGAGAAGAGGCTTGCGTGCTTCAGTCCTGGGATCTGTGCAGCCCATCTCTCTGCATCGCAAAGCTGGCGCCAGTATTTTCAAGCACTTCCAGGTGAGCCCCACTGCAAAGCAGAGGGTGCTTGGAGGGGGCTGCCAGGTGCCTCTGCAGGCCAGCTTCGTTGACTCCTTCTAGCAATAGCTCTGGGAGCACAGTGGGCTCACCCCCTCCTTGCTCTCTTCCAGGTGATCCCCCACAGGCAGGTGCTTGGATTGGCCAGTGCACACTCTATTTGCTAATAATGGTCTTTGCAAAGACAGCAGTCGGCCTCCTCTTGCTCATCCCTGGCTGGAGAAAAGTAAGGAACAATTGCATTCAGCTACTAAATAAGTAGCTGTTCTTTTACTAATGAACATGGTAAAGATCTTCAGGGACTGCATTGCATAATTCTACAGGTGTTTCTGTCATCGTTTTGAGAAATGTGTAGAAAATGCAATTTATATGTAGGAAAGGCACCAGGAAGAGATTTGGTTAGAACCTTTGCTCAGACAACTGTTTGTTTTGTTTGTTTGTTTTGTTTTGTTTTGTTTGCATGCGGGGAAGACTTTGAAAGTGTTCAGAATAGCAGGGGAAGGCTTCTGCTGTGTGCAGCTTTGAACCTGCCACTCAGCTTTCATCGAACATTTTTTTCTGCAGTGGCTTCTTAGGACAGGCTATGCTGGCAAAATTGCAAATTAATAATGCATTCGTCTGCATAAAAGCAGGATGTATGAAATCCTGAACCAGTTCGTACTTTCTGGATTTGTTTGTGAGGCCGGAAGAGTGCGCATGTTCCATCTCTGTGTTAGGAAAATGAGTCACCAGCAAGCAACCCTTATAGGTGTCCCTAGATGCATTCCCAGGTGGCTATGATGCACTTTCAGGGTCTGGACTTAACAGCCTCACAGGGCTGAGGGTATTCTTTAGAAGTTAATGGGGATTAAGTCACTTCTAAATGGAGTAAACCAGCCTGGCTGCATTTGCAAGCTTTGCAAGTCTTCATGAGACCTAATGAATTACGTTCAACTTGGGTGTTGGGATGCTTGTTCTGCTGGGCTTAAAAGCAGCAATTTTGGATAGAACCAGATGCAACTTTTACACACTTAGCTGGGCCACTTTGCCACTGAATTGGGTCCAAATGTACCTGTTCCTTTCAAGCATCCAAGCACTTGTATGGACCTGTGAGAAACCCAGCTCTGCAGGTTTCCAGCAGAAGTTGAACAGATGGGTGTTTATTGTCTAACACGTAAACATCTCTGGCGCAGTTTTGCAGAAGTTCTTAAAATGTGGACTTTTTCATAGGGCGAGGTGTGAATGTGCAAATGCAGAAATGCAAATCTGGCAGTTCTGAAACATTTCCGCATGGAAACCAGGAGAGGGCAGGTGCCTGAAGGCAGACAGGAGGTGCAGCACAGGTGCATCTGCTTGGTGACATGGGCAGATCTTTAACCATCATGGCAGGCTTCTACAACCTGACACCCTCCAGATATGCTGGGCTGCAGCCCCCATACTTTGCAGCCTACCCAGCTCTAGAGGTCCCCACAGCCCTGGGTGAAGTTGTTTTGGCCTACAGTTCCCATCTGCCCTAGAACACATGCTAGAACACCTGGCCTCTCCAGGTATGAAGACGAAGTTGTGAGTTGGTGCAATTTCAGGTACAGCAGAAGTCACAAAAGGGAACTGCTTCTAGCAAAGCATGCAGAATTCAGTTTGCAGGTGAGAATCCATCAGATTTCCTTGGCTTGACTCCTCGGATTCCAGCCTGCTTTCTCTGTCCTAAGTGAGAGAAAGCAGTCCCCTTTGGGACTGTTGGATGCCGTTTTATAAACCAAATAAATAAAGGTCCTTGTGTCAAGCCTTTGCATGAGCATCCGGCAGGAGTCGAGGCTGCCCTGGGCACATGCAGTCTGTGTTTTCGTTGTACAAGCAAAATTCTGCTTCAACACACGTGGCCCGCAGGCTTTGCATCCTTTGTGCAAGGAATTGCATGAAGAAGGGGACCACTAGTGTCCCCGAGCATTGAAGGACCTGACCTTGGTTTGAGTGGTCTTGGTGCACCTCGCTTCCTGGACAGGGCCGAGCGCAGGAAAGAAACCAGGTGAGCGCAAGAGAGCCAGATGCCAACCAGATCTCCACTTCCCTGAATCTTGTGGCAGCTGCGCTCTGCCCCTTTCTTTGGACCACTTAGTTTAACGAATCATTTGTGTTCCAGCCTCTGGGCTCACCTGCACAGTGCGGTGAGAGGAGATCTGCTTGCTTGCAGCTGCAGCATGAATCTGATTCCTTGCTTAGAGCTGGCCCAAGCCAGGAGGATGCAGCCCCACGGGAGAGGCAGCTCCCCCTGCTTGGAGTAAAGCTCTCCCAGCTCCTGATGAGACTCGCTCTCCATAACAGTGACTGGCATCCTCTTTTGCAGCTTCAGGAAATTCTTCTGGACTACATGCCTGACCCGCAGATGGAGCTGGTGTTGATGATGCTCGTGGTGCCTTTTACGGTCAATGTGAGTAGAGACACAGGAAGAACGTGAGGTTTTCTGACCAGTTGAGGTCTGGGAACTGGAAGCGCCCTCACCTGGGCTCCTTCCATTGTGTTTTCAAATGCAGAGCTCAGCCCTTAATGGAGGGTACGGACTAAGGTTCTAAGGAAGGAGAACAGGCCAGGGAAGGTGGTGGCTGGCCCAGTGTGTGGCTGCTGTGAAAAAGGCAACTCCATCTCCATGCTGGGCATAATTAGGGATGGCACAGGAAAGAGAACTGCCAAGGTTGTGCTCCCCTTATACAGATCTTTGGTGCAGCTGTACTTGGGGTATTGTGTTCGGTTCTGGTTGCCTGATGTGAAAAAGGAAATGATTAAGTTGGGAAAAGTACAGAAAGGGCAGCAAAAATGCTGTGGGGGCTGGAGCAGGTCCCCTGTGAGAAGCAGCTGCAACAACGGGCCTGTTCAGCTTAGGAAAAAAGGTGCATAAGGTGAGCCATGAGAGAGGTGCTTAAAATAATGCATGGTGTGGGGAGAGTGGAGAGGGAGAGAGCTTTCTCCCACTACCATAATGCCTGAACCCAGGGCCATCCCATGAGGCTGATGGGTGGGAGGTTCAGGTCAGATAAAAGGAAGCCCTTCCAAACACAGCATATGGTTAAACTGTGGAATTTGCTGCCATGGGAAGTGGTGAAGGCCATCAATTTGGGTGGCTTGGAAAGGGGACTGGACAGATTCATGGGGAAGAGGTCACTAGCCTTGCTAGTAGTCGGAGGGGGCTACTAGCCACGTGGCTACTAGCCTTGATGGCCAGGTGCTCCCTCCTTCGCCAGAGGTGGCCTGCCTGCACACGCCCCTTGCTGAGGAGCCGGGCAGAGGAATCCTAGAATCATACGAGTGCAGAGCAGGAAGGGGCCCACAGCTCCATCAAGTCTAACTCCCTGCTCAATGAAGGACTCCAAGTTAAAGCAAACCCCTTCAGGCAGGACCCCTCACACCAAATATAGACATCATACGCTGGCAGAAATTTTGGGAAATATATCGCAGTGTTCACTCTTTTGGGGTTAAGTTTCTGGCTTTTTTCCCCTGTCTATTAGCCAGTCCAAAATGGTGAGAAGTTATTGTCCTGACTTTGCACAGCATGCTAATAGAAAAACTGGGTCCTCCGCCTGCATCCCAGTGGCCCTACCAGATGACAAACTGAATTTATTAAAATGGTTGAGGAAGGGAAGCAGAGCATCAGTGGGAAATCATTCCGTCGAATGTTAAAGGGATTGTAGCTTCCACCACCATCAACAACAGGCACGGCAATAGGACGTGATCAGATAGGGAAAATCTGACACGTAATATTATTGTGTAAACCCTTTATTGCACGCATGAGGAAATGGAGCTATGCACAGCTTTTCGGAAGAATGGCAAAATGTTAGTAGAGATTGAGCAATCACTGCTCCCGTTGATGTTCTCAAATATCCAGGTTTAGGAAATGTTGTCAGCCTATATTGATATGTCCTACTTCTAGTCTCCTTTTCCTCTAAAGAGCCCAAAACACTGCCCATGGTTCTGCCTTGTTTGATTTTCACACCTGTTTTCACAACAGCCCTGTGAAGTAGGGATGGCTTTAGACTGGTGAGCTTCACAGGCATGTGGGGACTGAAATCTGGGTTTTCCCAGACTTAGTGTGATGCTCTTAACTCCTGCGAAGGCTATTAAGGACACCCGAAGAGCTCTGCTGAACTAGATCCGAGTTTGTTCGTGTCCAAAGTTGATGAACCTCTTTCAATCTGGAAGGCTATATTCAATTTTAGAGAAGCTGTTGGGGACCTCATCGCAGGGGTGAATGCAAAAGGGATGAGACCCAAATCCCAACACCGCCAGCTTATTTCGGCCTCAAGCTCTCGCTTCCTACAACAAAGGTTTCAGAGATGCATGTCAACCCGTTAGAATCCGTCAGCAGACAAGCAAATTCCTGAAAACCAGAGGGCAGGGTGAAAGGGGGCAGGCGGGACTGTGGGAAGCCCGTGGGGAGCTGAGACCCACAGTGAATCTGGCCATGGACCTGAGCTTTGCCACGCTCAATCTAGTGTCCCGTTTTCCACCATGACCCATGAAGGCAACATCCTTCGTCCCACTGTTCTGTTCCAGGAAATAATATACATAGGCAAACTGTTTAACTATTATGGCCAACAGCCAGACAAATGGACAGAGGATGCCTAATTCTCCTTTTAAAACCAGCAGCTGTTTCCGCATTTATTATGGCCACAAATTCCGTGCCTAAATTTTGTGTTGTACAATGAAGATTCTATCAGGTTTAATTTCTTTTGTTTTGGGAACACTCACAATCAGGCAATAAACCGGCTTCTCTAGATCACCATTTGGGTGTTTTAGCAAAAGTTTTTCATTTGACCCAGACTCAGTTTTAACTTGGTATTTGCCCTGACGTTACACTCAGGAAAAACCTAACAAGAAATTATTGTCCCCTGATTTTTCATATCCAGTGATATGTGTCTGATGTCAAGGAGGTTTCCATTTAATTGCTGGAAAGGAAACAGCATGGCTTTGTTCCTGGTAACTCAGTTACAAACTTTAGTAGAGGAGTTCCTTGAAGTTTTGCCAGGAAGGCATGAATAGATAGGCCTCATTCAAATGTTGGCTTCTATATGATGAATCCAAGTCTCTTTTGCGTCTGTGTCTGTCTCGCTTTCTTTTATGTGGGTCCAATCAAACATGGAATCTATTTGCACGGGGTGTGGGCTGAGAAGATTTTTCCATCTCTGAAAAGGCATGAAATAATCTTAGGAATGAACAGAAGAAAAGCTGGGCCGAATCACCCCAAATCCCATCTCATCCGGCAGTTCTGTGGTGTCCAACTAGAATCCAAAGGGAACCCCACAAGGGCAAGAACGCTTTCCTGCACAGAGTGCCCAATCATACTAGCCCAGCTCAGGAGGGAAATAGCTGTTCCGAGTAAGAACCCCCAGGAATATGTGGTCAGCACCACAACTTCTGGTAGACAATTCCAACATTTCCCTACACACCTTGAGAAGGACTTCTATTTCCTCTCTTGAACTAGTAGAGTTTCAGCGAAGGCTCACCCTACGGTTTGATAGCAAACGTTTCTTCTTCCATCTTCAGCTGTGAATATTCTTTTTCTCCATTTAGGCTGCCACATTCTGGGTGGTGGACAGCCTGATCATGAAGAAGCACAAGCAGAAGGAAATCCTGAAATTTGAAAGCAGCCGCAGGATGGAGGACTCACAGGCTTTGAAAGAGGAACAGTACCAGGTACGAACACAAAGGCATTTCTGCCACTGCTTCAAGAAGCTAAGCCTGGACTCATTATGTCTGAAAGTAGTGATAGGAAGTTTCAGCTGGAAAGGCCCTTGCCTCACTGCTGACATTCCAATCAATAATTCTCCTTTTAACAGGCATGCATTTTGGCTTAAAAGTAGTATTGAGTCAAAATATTTATTTTATAATAAAATATTTTTATTTTGTAACATATTTTTATAAAATATTTTTATTTTGTAACATATTTTTATAACATATTTTTATTTTATAGCCCTCCTCCCAGTACGCACACATCTTTGTTACACTAGGCAGGTATTTGGGTCCCCTGGTCCTATCCAACTCTGCTATTCTGTGATTCTACGATTGCAAATCCAAAGGAAAAGATCCGTATTTTTTCCTGACAGGACTTTATTCTCAGTTTTGGCTAACTCAGCCGGGGCCCCAGGGAGTCTGTGCACAGCTTCCCTTGTGTTTATTTGCAGATGTTAAAGGTCAGAACGCGTTCCGTAGAGAGTGTCCCATGCCATTTTTCCCTCCCGCATGGCCCCTGCATGTCAGTACCAGCAGCCTTAGAGTGTCTCCTCTTTCTTCTGATTTTGTTTTCCTGATTGCAAAGGGAGCAGGATGTCCCACCTCATTTTTCAGCTCTTGGCAGTGTCAAAATCTAGCGGGTGGAAGAGACTAGGCCAGGAGGAACCACGTGTGTTGCCGTTTGCCTGGGTTTTGCTAAACTTCAGGCTGATGTTCTTTTCACCTTGCTTACCGTACTCGTTTGCCGTCTCTTTGATTTTTGGAAATGTAAACCCTACAAGCAGGAACTCTTTCAGCCTGTTTTATGGAAATGCAGCATGCTGGATCAATTCATCTACCTTGGCACCCATCCCTCTTTCTTATCCTCACAACAACCCTGTGAGGTAGGCTAGTCTGAGAGAGAGAACGTGGTCCAGGTTGGTACTTAGGCTTTTGTGGAATCTTGGCCTGCCGGGTGTGCGTTCACCATGCGAACTGTGGCATCAAATTGGCTGCCAGTTTAAGCTTCATGAGGAGTTGAGGAATTTTAGCAAGCACGGAATTTTAGGATTTCTAGGTGTGACGCCACTGAATAAGGTCTTGCATAGGGAGCAACAGTGCTTTTTTTTGTAAGAAAATGGTGCCAGAACTCATGAAATTATTTACCTTTCACACATAGTCAATCACTGTACACACACCCACACACATCAGTTGTGTAACGAAACGTAATGGTCACCGCCCGCAGTGAGCACTCGGCGCGCGACCACACGACCAATCACAAGCCGAGCAGCGGACTCACAACCAGCGCGGACAAAGGACGCACGCATCGGGCTCGACACACAAGCAGCCCGCGGGCACCATTTTGATGACTCTGCCGCCGACCTGCTGCGCTTGACAGGGCGATTCAAATCCACGTGGAGCAAACATCAAATTTTCAAAAGTTACTTTTAAAACTTGGAAAATATGTCGAAAAAAGGTGCCGGAACTCCATTCCGGTGCGTTCTATGACCAAAAAAAGCACTAGGGAACAACACACAGCTGGGCCAAGTGTGTGAACAGCGGGAAATCGGCAGACTCTCTTGGGGACGTACCGATGGCTGGGCAACTTTTCCGTTTGCTCACAGCAGTCTTTCAGGCGTGCCCATGAAAACCAGCAGGCCTGCAGTTCCTCAAATTTGTGCAACATCACAAAACAAGATCTAGCATGAGTTTTTAAACCCCATGTAGCTGTGAGATCTTGCTTCCTAAACCACTACATTTTAGGCTGCAGCTGGATGCATTTCCACCTGCTGGAAACTGAAGGGTTGATTGAGGCTGATGGTAATCTTTGCTCAGTCAGCTGCAAATATTTGGCGAGCGTTTTCTCTCAGGTTCTGCTCCTGTCCTTCAAGCTAAGTGGAGGCTTTCCTTTCCCCCCTTTCTTTCTTGTTCCTGAAATCACTACTGGTCAAGTGCCTCTGGGTTTATTGGACTCTATCGGGTCTGTCTAGGAGCCAGCGCCAGCCAATATCTGCCCAGCTTGAATTTCAGGCCTGTTATCTTAGAAATAAAGACCTCCATTCTTCGCAGCAAGGAGTAAATCAGAGGGGGAGAGATGTACAGTTTCGGAAGGCTGTACGTGTTGAGTGGGCCCACCCCGAACCGCTGTGTGGTCCTTCCCAATTGCTGTAGTTGCTACCCTAAAAAAATAAAATAAAGGAAGCCAGGGGAAACATCTGATCCATTTCCTCAGCAATAAAATGAATGCAAGGAGAGGGCCATCCACCCAGACACTGTGCTTTGAGAAACTGTGTTGGGGATTGGAGGGCTGCCGTGGAGGAATCCGACAGGGCCTGGGAATCTGAGAGATTCCTGGGCTTTGTTCCCTGGTCTGCTTTGTTGCCGGAAAGTGTGCCCAGCTTTTGCAGGGGGTTCTCCAAGATTTGCACCCCCTTGTGTTACACGAGCCGCATCCTGATGCAGGAGAAGGTGGCTGGTTCCACAGCCTTCATGCTGCAAATGTTCACGAGCTTCCTCTCGGCTCAGCTTGCTTTCTGAGACCAGGCCAAGCACGAGAGGAAACCTGTGAATGTCAGAGGGACGGATTCTGGGGACCCCAGTTAAGAGCATGAGCTCTGGGCAGGTTCAGGTTAAGAGTCTAGGAAGACCTTCCTGCAAAGGGCAGCCGAGTCAGGCTTTCTGGTCCTGTGATGGCCAACTAGATGTGCCAGTGGGAAGCCCAGAGCAGCGCATGCTTTGTGTTTTAACAGTGTTGTGCTCAAAGGAAGGAAGAACTTAAATACATTGTTCTGATTATCTTAGAGGAAGGGTGGGATCTGTGCAATTAATTCACCTATTGTGTTGGCAGGGTCTTGTTGGTTAGTCAGTCCAACCTGCCTTGCCTTGCAGAGTTTCAGAGCAGATGTGAAATGATTTAAACATTTGACCCATGGAACGGTGCAGCCGTGTGCACCCTGGTGCCCTCCAGGTGCGCTGGACTACAACTGCTATCATCCCCAGAAAATAGGGTTGGAGAAGCAGCTATAATTTATTGACCTGCACTGCCCTCTCCTCCATGCCTGTCCAAGGAGTGAGAGAGCTGGTAGCAATGCAAAGGCACTCTGCATATCCTCAAAGGCTCTGTGACTCCCTCAACTTCGAGCTTGAGGCCTGGTAACATGACAGCTTAATTCAAGCTCCCCTTGATCAAGTTACAGCCTTCCCAAACTTAGTGCCCAATGAGTGTGTTGGACTGTACCTCTCATCATCCCCAGCCAGCATACCCATTGGGTGTGGGTGCTGGGAATGATGAGCACTCTGCTGCAGCGTGTCTCGAGAGGCTGTACCCCAGGAGAAAAGCAGCTGGAGCCCTTCAGTGCAGTCTTGCCTGCCGTCTTTTCCCCTATTCAAAGGGAAAATGGGGGGGGGGGGGTTCCATTTCCTGCAACTTTGCCCTGAGGAAAACCACCCCCCTCTGCCCCCCACCCACCAGCGCAGCCTGGAGAGTAACCAGTGCAAGGACGGGTTCCATTGCTCCGTTTCTTGCACCCGGCCGGTCCTGTTTGGTGCTGGCCCGTTGCACTCACCTTCTGGGGCCAGCGGTCCCCTGCATTGGCCCCAGAAGCTGCATGTGAATAACTGACACATTCTTCATAATCCTTCATCAGAATTGTCTTTCCTGGGCTGGATTTTAGGGCCAGGAAAATGAGTCCCGGATGGATTCCCCTCCCGAATCCATCTTTTGCATGTCTCTGATCATTTTTAAGTCCTCTTTACTGCAAGCCTTCAACATTCTGCCTAGCTGGAAGAAACACACGTCATGACTATGCAATAAATAAATACATTGAAATGCGCCATTTGCTATTGCAGGGCATTAAATCCAGGGTGGATTAACTCTTAACGCTTTGCCAAAACGGAAAGGAACGGAAAGGCAGCCTCCAGAAAAGAGGACCAAAAAAGGCACACGGCTAGCATATGCTGCCATACCAGCTGAGCTGCACCCTGCGAGAGAATTCCTCTGGTTGCAGCAGAACCCATCCTACCACGGTGGAGAGATGGTGGCCAGGGTGGCCTTCTCTGTCTTGCCCAGGCCCCTCTGCCGATAGGCACCCTCCGGGTCCCCGTTCTCTCCCCTTGGGCTGTTTGCCTTCAGCCCAGATTAGAACTGAACAGCTCTTCCACCCCATCTCCAAACAGAGGCTGCCCTCTGTCTGTTCGGCCACGTGGCCACCCTACTTAAATCTCCAGCCACGGAGCCTCCGAACGGAATATAGACTAGGAAGGGCTGCATTTAAAAACCTGGGCATGGAGATGAAGCCAGCTGGTGGACGGTCTTAAAAGCATCAGAAGAGGGGAGGGTGTGAGGACTCACCTGGATACGGCCAGGGTTTTCCCCAGAGCCATCCAGCACCGTCTTTGCTACTTCCAAACCCCCACACCAAGCGTTTTCCCAGTCTTGAGGGTGGATTGTTTCTGCCACTGGGGCTATGGCACTGGCCCGTCTCTCTTTAGCCCCAGCAGAGCTGATAGCAGCTTGCGGGGTGTGGGGGCAGGATGATTTGGACTGGGGAACGTGATGGAGAAAGGAAGGGTTAAGTCACTATCTGAAACCCCAAACATCACCGCCAGTCAAATGTGGCGGCCCGGGCAGCGGCTTTAAAGGGGAAAGAGGCAACAGACTTGTATGGTTTTGACCTCCGATGGAAGGCTTCCTTGGCATTCTGTTGGTACTTTCAGGCTAGCCTCCCTCACAGGGTGGTTGTTAGGATGAGAGGAGGAGATGGGGAGGGGTGTGTGATGCATCCATTTTGCAGGGAGAAATTTGCCACGTCCTCTGGACTTGGCTCCTTGGACTCCAGCCTTCTTCTCTTGCGGCCACGAGCCCGACTTCCTGGCACATCCGCCGGTGGTTATGTGAGCAGCACACGACTGCTGTGGACACCGCACTCCTCTTCCACGCACCCCTGTTTGTGCTGCGCTTGATGTGGAAGAAGGTTGCCAGTTGCTCATGGACTTCATGAGCATTCACAGACTTCTCAGCTTGGCTTGCTTTCTGAGGCAGGGCAAGGCACAGGAGGAGGTCTGTGAATTGGAGAGGCGGATTCCAAGGAGCTTCGTTGCTGCACTAGTGATGGGAGATAATTGTGCAAACTGCTTTGAGCGCCTTAGCAATATGGCAGATTAACAGTACAAGTAAAATAGGAAAATACACTCTTAGAAACATAGAAACAGAGCGAGTCAGAAGGGGTCTCCTGGGCCATCTAGTCTGACCCCCGGCTCCAGCCAGCTCCGCTCATAACACGCCTACCATGTGCACGTTAAAAGCCATTTTAAAAGCACTAGGCATCTTGGACACGCATTAGGGCCAAATTTTTAAAAAATGCATTGGTTTGTGTATATATACAACCATGCCAAAATCGCACAGCCCAAATCTATGGCTGAAAACAGTATGATTTGTTGTTGTTAATTTTATTTCTATTCTGCCCAATAGCCAAAGCTATTTGGGCAGCTTACAACAACACACAAAATGCAATATAAAATACAGCCGTGAAGTCACCTCCAATTTATAAAACATCATAAAAGTTGTACAAAATTTAAAACAAATGCAAACAGCTACAATGTGTCACCATAAGTCAGAGATAACGTTCAATAACAAAAAGCTACAATAGTTTATGCAAACTAAATCATAAGATCTGTTTAAGCAGCTAACATAAGACCAATATGTTAGCAAATATTGCTAACCAATATAATAGCAATATAATAGCAAATAGCAAACTAATTAGATGTGCTGTGGCAGAAGACAGTCTTAACCCGGTGTTGAAAAGATATTAAAGTGGGCACTGGATAGGCCTCAGTGAAAAGCATATTCCGTAATTGGGGGCCACCATTGGAAAGGCCCTTTCCCTTGTTGCTGCCAAGCAAACCTCCCCATGGAGGGAGAAATCAGATGCCGGCCCCACGTCTTGATCATAGTGTCTGGGTAGATTGGGAAATGTGTTCCCAAAATACACTCATGTGATATTTGCCCTTTTCTGAATTTCGTGTTGTACTTTGCAACACAAAAACTCATGGGGAGGGGGAAGTGAGCACTAAAAAGTGTGCGGTAGGGAAAGCTGGACACAAAACCATTTTAAATAAGGAAATTCACTTGCAAAGGATGCATGTATTTGGGGAAATACATACAAAAATGCATTCATAAAAGCACGTGCCAAGATGGGTACATTCAGAGAAACGCTCATGAAAAATACATATAAATTGTTATGTGGACAAATTCACAGAGGTGGGAAAAGAATGGCGTGGACTTAAAGTAGGAGAAATATGGGAAGGTGAGTGGAATCGAGGGCTCGGCAGACTTAGCCATCCAGACCAAACACCCTCCTCTCTTAATGATCAGAGAGTGGTTTCGAGATTACTGCAGATAAATTCAAATAACCCTTTGCTTTTTAAATGCATCACTGTGTTCCACAGGCACTGCTCTGTCCAGCCTTGGATTTTGACCGTTCCAGAGGCAATGCAGACCTGTTGGGCTCTCTCCCCCATGGAATGAACTCTTCGATAAAGCAACCGGACTTTCAGGATACGCTTGGACAAGGATTCGTAACCAAGCTAAATGGAGGGGAAAGCGACCACTGTTAGGAAATCGCCGTAAACACACTGCTTGAATTTGGTTTAAGCAGCTTCTTCTGGCTTTCGAGTTTCCAAGGATGTGGAGGCGAGTGGAAGATGTGAAAAGACTACGCACTTAAAGGGGGATCACAAGGCAGCAACATCATAATTTGACATATTTCCTCCTGGGATGTCTTCCCTCTATAGGACTTGCTAGGAGTATAATAGTGTGGGCATTTTGGTGGATGGAAGTTTACAATTGTGGCTGTGTTTGGTTCACTGGCTCCTTCAAGAACATGTTGGATCAATTTAAATTATATCTTCTGGCTGGCCAGCTGGTGACAGTTTTACACTTGAGTTTGGTCCAAAATGCCAATCAAAACCTTGTATCTTTTTTAATAAGAACTGAAATCATTTGCCTTGCACTGAAATGCACATGAACGCACAGGTTGCTTGTTCATTGCAGCCTCCTATATTTAAAAAAGCCTTCGGGGCTGCCCTTATTGTCTCAACTTTTTACACATTTTTATAAGTCATGCAATAAAGTCTTTGATATTTGAACATGCTTGGGAGTTGCCCTTGCGATTTAATTAGCCTGCTGAGAGGAATCTAGTCTGAGCTTTGATTTCTCCTGATCAGAGGTTTGGACCGTTTCAAGAGAATCCTTTCCATATGTGAAATCCACACATTCCCATTGGCTGGGTTATTTCAGTGAGGTTGTTAGTGTCTGGCTTTGCATGTTCTGTGTCCAAGCAAGAGCATGGGTCTGAATTCCTCATTTAACAAAATCAAATCCTAGGCATAAAATTGAACATAGACAACAAATAGGCACACATTCGTAAGTTTTACTTCAAAAGCACACGTTCTTTCTTTGTTTTGTGTATGCATATGAATCCCGCTGCTGTATCTATTCACTTGGTTTTTCACATCCTTGGAATTTTGAATGTTTACTAGTAGATGATGGAACCTGGGGGGGGGGGGCGGTCCTGTGGCATGCATGTTGCCCCCTCCTGGGTTGCATGAACGAACAGCCTCTGCTTTCTATTAAGAAGGTGTCCCCTGTTATTTATCGCTCCCACTTAAATCTTCCACAAACAAATGGAATAGTGGGCTTGCCGAGTTGTGCTTGCGCCACTGTGCTCTTGGAACACTGGAAGCCTGCCAGAAATTCTGGAAGTTCGCTCTGCAACACTGTTTGGTTGTATGAACTGGACCACAGAGTATAGAGAGTCCAATTTCAGAACATACTTAGGGAGAGTCCAAAAACCAGTCCACGTTGCCTAGAATTCACTCTCCACTAGCCACTGGTCCTGAAACTAGTTTGAAGGCAGTGGACTTCTGCTTTTAACCTGGAGGTGATATTGCTCAAACAAGCACATTTGCACAGATAAGCTATCCATCTCTCTGGAAAACAGATGGGACCTGGAGTGCTCCTGTTAAGCATTCCAGCCTTCCAGCCGGCCATGCCTCTTTTCAAGATACTCCATTACAGCCACTACCAGTCTCCCTGCAAACAAATGATAAGGATCCACACTGACAAAGCTAGTTCGCTTTGTCTACATAAGATTCTGTCATGGGAAAGAAGCAGAGACAGCAGCTCTGTTATGCAGCATGAAACTCGTGAAGGAGACCAAATTTAAGAACTGCAAATCAGTAACTGAGGGGGTAATCCTATGCATATTTAAGCAAAAAAATCCTATGGCTCCCAGGATTCACTGGTTGGGCATCGCTTCGGATTGTACCTCTAGATGAATAGATCTTTTTACGATAGGTGGGGCCCAGTTGACGAATCAGTTCTGCCTTCCCCAATGTGGTGCCCTCAATGTGTGGTGGATGCAATCCCATTATGCTTACCCAGCATGGCGAGTGGCCATCAATGTACACAGAGTCAGGCTGGACCAAAGCTGGATCCATTCAAGCTCGTGTTCTGTTCACGTGTGGCTGCACAGCTGCCCACAGGAAACACAAATACATGGTGAAATGGCCCTAGTGAAAAGGTGAAAGCGTCCCCTGAGTGAAGCTGTGTGCAGGCATATTGCGTCCGATCCTGGAGGTAGCATCAGACCATGAGGACTAGTAGCCATTGAAGGCCTCATCCATTCATTTGTCCAGCCCCCGTTTAAAGCCATCCAGATGAGTGGCCTTCACTGCATCATGTAGAAGTGAATTCCATTGCTTAACTCTGCTGCGTGAAGAAGGATTTATTCTCTGTGCTGAATCGCCCACCAATCGGCTTCATGGGAAGACGGCCGATTCTTCTATTATGAGAATGGAACAAGAGTGCCTTTGGAGCCACATGGCGCATCTTTTTGTAGTTGCTTCAGCCTCTTCATCAGCAGATTTCCCCTTTCCTGCACCTTTTCCAACACCTCAGTCTCCCTTTTCATTCCAGTTCTGGGTGCACCATAGACAGGTATTAAACCGAGAGTTTAATTTTCTCCATACTTTAACCCATGCAGCTGGACAGAGTGGCTAACTGCGATATTTTCCTATAAGCACCAGGAATTCTAGGAAGACGACTGCAAGAAAGAACATCATTAAATGTTCCCACCCCTTGCTATTTATAAATTGTGCTTTCCTTTGCAGAAACGTGGGCTTGTGCAGGCTAAATGACGGATGCGGCCTAAATCTTGTCTCCAAGACAGGGAGAGGAGATTGCGTATTACACGGATGGGCAAACATTTCAGAATTGGGCATTCGGCAGAATGATGCCTAACTAAATATTTCTCTGATTTGCCCTGCATAGTCAGGCCAGTGAGTACAATTAAAAAGTCAGCAGATCACTCAGGTGTGTCTCTTTCCTTTCAGGGCATTGAGCCAGGATTAAAGCAATTCTGAAGCTATCTTGCAGCAGCCCCTGGGTCATGGGAGGGGGAGCACACCATACACAGGTTTCTAGGTGGAAACTTGGCCTTTGGAAATAGATTCGTGCATTATTCATCCTTGAAAGGACTTGGACAGAAACTGAGTCTTACACACTAATTGCAAACTCCTTTCTTGGAACCAACTTTTATATAGAAAACCTGTACCAGAAAAGCACGAGAGAGAGAGAGAGAGAGAGAGAGAGAGAGAGAGAGAGAGAGAGAGATCAGTTAGGAGAGCTCCATTTGTAGAACTGCATGAACAAGTCTTTAGGGGAAAACAAGTGAACCCTCAAAATAGCCGAATAAGGAACAGGCAGGTTCAGTGTCTACATGGAACTGGCATCTGTGTTTGTATTGTTCCCAAACATTCTCTGAACAAAAATATCTGTATTCCAATCTGCCCCCATCAGGGGAACTTTTAACCTTGATATGTCTTAACAAAGGTGATCCAATGATACAGAATACAAAGGATTGTTTGAAAATTGGAGAATTTAGTAAATACTCCAAAATCAAAAGGTACACAGTGATTACTCTGCGGAACATAACTGGCAAAAGACATTTATACAAACCTGGTTCATAGTTTGCAAACAAACTTAGGCAGATCACGCAAATGTACACAAATGTGAAATGGAAAATGTAGATATCTGTGCAGCAGGTTTTAATGGTAGGGAAATTAGTGTAAAATCCATTCAGTAGCTAAACCAAGAACTTCAGTGCGAGGTCCTTAAAAGGTTCCAACAAAGCTGCTAGGGAATACGAGGCCCTAAGTCCAACATGACAAACAGAAGGACAGGATTTGGTTGTCCTGCAAAACACAGATGTCCCGTCACCTAGAGCATCAATGTTTCAAAATGGGTTGGCTCAGAGCGACCAGAAACTGGGCCTTCCCTGGGATGTAGTAGTCCAAATGGAGAAATCCCCTGTTGGATTACATCTAAATGAGGCAATCACCCAGTGACTGAAAAGGCATGTCTTTACAGCCTAATCAGCGCCCTCAAAGGGAATATGGGGCACTGAATCAATGGGTGTTTTGGGTGGGTGTGCTTCTTGGTTAGGCCTGTGAGCACAGCTTCTTACTGCTTTCCTTCTGGTAGGTTGGCTGGATACTCATAAGAACATTGGAAAAGCTGTGCTAGATGAATGGTCCTTCCAGACCAGCACTCCATTCCCGGGGTGAACCAAGGCTCAGTTTGGATGCCAGGAAGCACTTCCTGGTGGTTAGGACCCCGAGGGTGTGGAATGGGCTCCCACGGGAGGTGGTTGAGGCCCCATCGGTGCGGGTGTTCAAGGACAAGCTGGACATGCACATGGTGGGCACGTCGTGAGCAGAGCCGGCTGGAGCCAGGGGTCAGACTAGATGGCCTGGGAGGCCCCCTCTGACTTGCTCTGTTTCTCTGTTTCTATTCCAGCACAGCTCTAGCTCCTGGAGCAAATAGCCGTGTGTGGGGGGTGGGGAGGGAGCTGGTTGTACTTGCTTCTCTTAAGCAGGTCTGTCCCACCCTCATTCCTTTGCCACAGATGAGACTCTGGCCGTGCCCCTTTCGCCTTCAGTCCCCCTCATCACTGGAACGTGGCCACCCGTAGCCTCTCCCAAATGGAATTCAGCCCACGGAGAAAGAGGCTGTGGGTGCAACCCTTCTCCTGGACAGCTTTCTTCTGCCTCATCAAGACCCTTTTGCTCTGAGAAGCATTTGGCCTGTGGAGTCCGTGATGGTGCTGGAGCTCAATTTTTGCAGCCCCCCATCTCTGTGTGTGTTTTGCTTTGGGTTTTTTCTTTCTTTTTTTTCTGTCTCCAGTTGTTTTATTGCAACACTCTTTTCTTGTTTTGCAGAAAGCAAGGAATGCAGGTGCTCACTGCAGCCTTGAAACCATCATGTTTTCAGTCCCTCAGCCTGAAGAGAATGAATTTGGAGTAGAAAGGTAGGATTGCAGGAAGCGATCTTACCTGAGTCAGGTCATGGGGACAGCATCCTTGGCAGTGGCTTTTAGGCAGGATTCCTTCCCAGCTTTACCTGGAGAATTCCAGGACATTCTACATGCAAAGCTAGAGCTCATCTGCCGAGCAAAGGCCCCACCATTCACCCCCCCCCCCCCCCCCATGGAGGCCTTTCAAAAGCTGAATTACCACGTGGTGAGGAATTTCCAGGTTGGCAGTAGCTGCTGAGAAGGAAAATGTTCTAACTCTTGCAAGATCACCCCATTCTCTAGAGCAAAAATCTGCCCTGCTTTAAAAAATGTGCCCAGTCCAGCTGGCTAGGCTGGGAATTGCAGTCAAGCAGTTCTGGAAGCTGGCGCATTTCCTTGCTCCATTGTCTCCCTTCAACAACACGGTTGGCTCACGTTGCTTTCTTGTGTTGCCTCCCAGGAAGAACCAAACATTATTCCATTCTTGACGTGCTGCTGTCTTCTTTATTCTGGCCCGGTTTTCTTCTCTCCCCGCTGCCTGCCTCGCCACCTGGCCCATGCTCCAAAACACAACCTGGTACTGAAAGCAAATCACAGAAAGCAACCCTTTCCTCAGCTGCAGGAATTTCAAAGGGACCAGATAGGTTTGTAGCAAGAGCCAGCTGTTGCCACCCAAACTCCACTGGATTCAGGCCCCTGCAGCAAAAGCCAGTAGTTACACATGAGCAAGCTGTTTGTGTCATTTTTGACTTCAATGAGCACAACAAGCTGCAGGAAACATACAGCAGACCGTGACTTTTGGAGCAATCAAATTCCTCCCCCCTACCCTATTGCTATCTGCCAAATAAAGGCTGCTAAATTTTAAAGGCATCTCTGTCGGGATTTTCATGGCTTTCTAGCCGCACTGAAACCATGCTACTTGGAGAACAGTTTTATTTAACAATAGAAACACAGAACAGTAAGCACAACATTGCCTTACAACAGGGATGCATCCAAAATTGGCTCCATCCATTTTTAAAAAATGGATTTAACCAGGTCACTTCTCATGGACTCAAACATAAAATGCAGTCAAAATCCACATGTCTCCCAAACTGAAATGTGTTCCACAAAGGGACAAAAGGGATACTGATTTGCATAACATCTGCACACGAGGATCAATATCTATAGATATTTATGCCAATCTGGAAATGGGTACTGTAATTTAAGTAGAAAGATAACCTACCTGGTGACAAGTATACCTGCGCGTTCAACCTGTTGGCCAGGTACCGACACCTGTTGATGGGTGACTTCAAGTCCCAGCTTTTCTGTCTTAGGGTTCTTTGCATTTAAACTGGACCTGGCTGTGTCTCTGATGAAGGATACCTTCAAAACAGGGGACTGTCCTCTCTAAAATGAGCTAAACGGCCACCCTACTGTATTACAAAGTTGCGGTAAGTATATACTAAAAGATAAGCACTTTTCCCCTTTTTTGACAAAATCATGAAAGGAATTGAGACTCCCAAGAAACTGCATGTACCACTGCATGGGATGCTTCAAGGTTCAGCTGAGACGCTGTGTACCCAGTTCTGCATCTGACTGGAAACGTTGGGGTCTGGATGTTTTAGGGTACACTCCCAGGCATGCTTAGATAGGAGAGGAGGCCCACAGATTTCTTCCGGTCTAAACATGCTTCAAACGGGCCTTTTTGCTGCTGTTCTAAGGGGGAAGGGCAAAAACTTTGCAGCAAGGTCTGGAATGGAAGAGGCCATTTTTGGCTGAGCCTGGGAGATTTTCCTACTTGTCCTGTCTTTCCCGTGGGCCACATGTACCTTACATTCCACCCCAAGATGCTGGGCAAACTCTGTTTCTTTCCCAAGCTCCTACTTTGTGGGCAATAGGCTAACCATGAGCCAGCAATGCAATGCACCTAATACTCAGTGAATAGTTGGCAACATCATCTTTGAAATTCATGAGTGTCCCCCTATTCATGATCCTGGTCACTTCCATTTTACGTGGCTCAACAGAACTGAAAAAGAAAAAGATCTTGGAGTAATTGTGGACAATAGGCTAAACGTGAGCCAACAATGCGATGCAGCCGCCCGAAGGGCAAATGCTATCTTGGGATGCATCAACAGTATTACTTCCAAATCATGAGAAGTAGTAATTCCTCTATACTCCTCACTAGTCAGACCTCACCTGGAATACTGCGTCCAGTTCTGGGCACCAAGAATTAAGAAAGATGCAGGTAAATTAGAAAGGGTCCAGCGGAGGGCAACAAAAATGATCCAGGGTTTGGAATCACTGTCCTGTGAGGAGAGACTGAGAGAACTGGGCATGTTCAGCCTTGAGAAGAGAAGACTGAGGGGGGTATGAGATCCCTCCATAAGTACCTCAAAGGCTGCCACAAAGAGGAAGGCCAAGATCTCGTCTTGCTCATGCCAGATTGTAGAACACAGAATAATCAGTTCAAGTTGCAACAACCCAGAAAGATCAACCTTGCTGTTTCAAACTGCCCCCCCTCCCCGACCCATGCCCAAGAGTGGCTACCAAGCAAATGAGCCCAGGAAGGCATGAAGAGAGCTCTCGGGTGTCTATGTGTCTCCCCTCTTCCTGTAAAGAAAAGCTAAGGGGCAGCCTAGATGTGGGGGAGAGGGGGACCCCTGGAGAGCATCCACAGCACCTGTCCTGAAGATGGACCTGCATCTCTGGGGCTTCAACCAGAGCATAAAGAATTTCACTGCTTGGGAGAGCAACAGGGGCTTCCAAAGGCAGACCCTGGCTCAATCCCAGAAGGCTTTCCTGAGGTCCCAGCAGGAAGCACACCTTTTTCTACAGACAGCCAGAGTTGTCACCAGCCACAGGACTGTGCCCTTCCATAGCTTTGATTTCAAGTGTTGGGAAAATTCAGATAAATCCTGGTAGAAAAACGTTGCTTATATTTCCCTTTGTGTTATAAAATCAAACCTGCACCCCTTTCTCGGAAAGCAGCAGAATTCCAAGCCAGGTCACGGTTTAGTGCTTCTGTCACTTTAAGAAGGTGGAATTCTTAGCTGGACTGAGAAGCTGCTGTAGGCTAACAGCGTCAGTGGGGAAATACCAGTGTTCCCATTTGCTGCAGAGAGCAGAAACAAAGGTGTCCATTTGTTCCTGAATGGACCCACTTAAGCTTCTAGTCCCACAGAGGTAAGTGCCTGCACAGTATAGTTGTCAAACCAGTTTTCCTGAATGGTTCCTCCATCAGACACATTTGCATATTTAAACAGACACACCAGCTGACCTGAACTGTCAAGAATTTACTAGATTGACCTATCAATAAAGCAATCAGTAAAGTTTTCCATATTATTGTTACCAGTATTTTGGATCGGTTTAGAACATTATGTCATGCCTGAAGACATCAGGGTGCTATTGTACTAACGTTATCTGGAAACTTAATACTCTGTATTGGTGTATATGCCTAGCAGGTTATAAAAGTGTCTGTACATGGGCTGTGATTTTGTAGCTGAGTTTGCCTCTACCCAGTAATGTATTATCATTAGTGACTGCAGGTACTGGGCCACCAGTCAATAAAGCCGCAGAGGTTCAAACGTTTGATCTTCCCCACGAATCTGAATGTTCATTCCTCGCAAATTGAAAAGCGCGATTCTTCACAAGGCAGCACTGAACTTTCTGCTTCAGTTCTCCCATTGAAACCAACGGGATTTGCCCAAGGAAATTAACCCTGGCTCTGCTTTGCCTCTTTGTTCCCCAAGAGCGAACCTTCATTCATCTCTCTCCTGATGCAGAACACAAATAAAATGCAACACCAAACCCAAAAAGACAACAAGAATCTTAAAAAGTTAGTTCATTCTCCACCTTATCCAGTCGAATAGCCCACACTGCAATTTCTTATCTTACAGGCAGTAGGAACCCTATTCCCAAGCTGCTTGTTTCTTTTAAAGCCATTAGCCCGTCTTCATTGGAGTAAATGAACCAAAACCCAGCGAGCTCTCTTGTGAATGGAACGGATCTTTTCTTTTTTAAAGGGGGTCCCTTGACGTTACTACAGAGAACTGCCGACATGCAAGAGTCTCTTGAGAATGGCTGATTTCATATGCGCTGAAAGCAAGAAGGATTTCCTCTCTTTAGAGTCTGTTTTCCATCAAGGAACTAGTCCCTGTGTCAAACGGGTGAGAGGCCAAGTAGTTCTTATAGCCACCATCGATCAGTTTCTCAGCGTTGTTCTTGGCAAACCAGCAGTCCACCTCCTGTTCACCATTGTAGACCTTCCTCTGCTTCCACATGACGGGAACCATGCGTCCTTTCAGCTTTAAGAAATTCCTGGAGCTCACAAACACGCCCTTCGTTTGGTTCCAGCTCCCCGCAATGGGATGACTTGGTTCAAGAGCTTCTTGAATTAGTTTAACGTCTTGGTATAAGAACTGCCCTGTGTGGGAGGAAATGAAGAACTTAGAGGTGGATTCCAGACTTCGGGCTGCCAAGCCAGGCACAAGACAACACCCACCGCTTCATATACTGAAGCAGGCTGGAGCATCTTGCTGCTGAATCTCAATTCAGGACCGGTATCGGGATGGCTTGGTCTCCTGTGCCGGAGTGCAGCCATATTGCAAATCAGGGCTGCGGGGCCTGATGCGCCAACAGCTGCCCTTGGTCCTCAGCACCTGCCATCTCAGGTCGATTCCTCACTCTGCCTCCTGACAGGGCCGGCCCAGAGAACAGGTGTTGGGGTAGGTTAAGAAAAGACAATGGAGCGATCGATCCCCGGAGGTGTAAAATCTTGCATTGGCACTGGGGTGGGGATGGGTGAGTGAACTGCCTTTTGATAGGGTGGTTTTAGGGACCACCCAAATAGCACTAGAGAAATGTACCACCATCACCAGTAATAATAATAGTATTAATTTTATTATTAAATATTTGAGTTTGTACTACACACCGGCGAACTGATTCTAAAAAAGATCCTGGACTGTGCAGAAATGGATAGATTGACTTTATCATTGAAGGAGAAGGAAGATACTGACTTCTATCAAACTTGGGACTCTTTTTATTCTTGGCTAGAGAAACGGGACTTCACGTAGATTTAAATATGTTTTTAAGTTATCATAAATGGAAAAAGAAGGGTGTGGGGGCTGACCTAGCAGGCCCGATGTTTTTGATGATGGATGTTGTTTTTTAGTTTTTTGTTTTGTTTTTTAGGATTATAATTTCAAATAAAACTTATTAAAAAATAAATATTTCAGTTTGTTAAGTACACGTAGATGGGTATGATGACTTCCTTCCTCCTCCCTCCCTCCTTCCTTCCATCACTGGCCAGTAGCCTAGAACAAGGACAGATAAGACCCTAACTTCTGGGGAGGGGGGACTAACAAGGGCGAACCCAGTTCAAAGTAAACCTGCTCAAGATAGACCTGTTTTGGAGCTCTCTCTGAGACGGGTGTCACATTTATCAAGTGGATCTTCTCATTTCGGCACATCCCAGCTACTTGTATTTCACTGCAACAATTAACCTAAGCCATGTAGTTGGTTTATTTATTTTTGCAATTTATATTCCATAGTTTAATTAGTCCCAAGGACTCTGTGGAATTTAAGAAGCTCTGGAAGATTAATGGTGGGCGTGCCCATGTAACCGTATTTAAATACGACAGTGTTTTCACCAGATGCTGAGAGCCGAGATTTTGCATCTCTGTCCTGTGATGGTCATGAACTCCCATCAGCATTCTTGGAAATGGACACACTATTTTCAACAACCATTTAAAACGCTCCTCTTCCAAAAGCCATAGCTTTTGCAGGACTCAGCCAAGAAATGGACAAGGTTTTGCATTCCCCATAACTCTTTGTCTGGCAAGCTGGCTCAAAACACAGACTGTGGGAGGTAGGAGAAGAGACCAAAAAAGTCCAAACACCAGGCGTGTGGCCATGAGGTCGGCACTTTGATCCTGGCTCATCCTGCAGAGAAAGACTGCAGCCTAAATGAAGGAAACTGCCAGGTGGTGCAGGAAGTAGGTGGTGCCTAGAATGCATTTCTTCATTTTGTGCCATGAAGAGTGTTGGGAAAATTAGGATAAATCCTGGCAGAAAAACATTGCCTCTGTGTGCTTTTGCATTGTGGAATCTATCCTGTACTCCTCAAAAGCGCCAGCTTTCCAAGCTAAGTCACTGTTTAAAATGGCATTCCTCCCCAGCTCCTTTCTCTCACCTTTAGCTGTAAGCTACAGTAGACCTGCCATTTAGTCCAAATATACCTTATATACCTTCACAATGATTAAATAATCGTTGTTGCAATTCACAGTTTACCAGGAAGTATCTTTTGCTAGCCCAGAGGGCTCCATGAGTCTAGATGAGCTTATGAGTCCATGAATAGTTTCTCAGCAGCTTGAATTTACATGTCTGAGCAGACCTGGAGATGGGTTCAAGTTACTCAACTAAAGTGTCAATACACTGCAATTAGAAATAGTGTAATCTCATTGTCACTGTGTGATTGGCTGACCTTCCTTTATCTGCTCTGTATGGATGACCTTAGAATCTTATTGTAATGGCTGCATTCTGTCATCAATTGCCCTGAACCTGCGTACGTGACCGGGAGGGTATAAAATACCCTGTAGTTGTATTGAAACCTTGCAGCGAGTTCACCTCTGCTTGCACGGTAATGCATTATCGTGAGTCTACTGCGGGAACCTGGGCCAAACTATAAAGCCACAGATGGTCTTAACGCTCGATCTTTCCCAAGAACCCGAGTTTTATTTCCTCCTCACAAATTGAAATTCCGGGATTTTCTGGCAAGAGAGGGCTGTTCTTCGCAACCCAGTGGCCCTTCAGCAGGTCGAGGGCTCCCCACTCCGAGGCCAGAGACAGAAGGAGGACCTTGGTGGGGGAAATTTGAGCAGGGCTTCCCTTCCCCAAGTCGCTCCCGTGATGGTTCCTCCTCCCAAGGCTGGAGCCCTGATTCTGGGAAAAGCAGGCGGGAAGGGCTGGTGCCATGCGGAGGGGACAGGCTGTGGATTCGTCAGGTCCAGGGGCTTCCAACCACAATCCCACATGCCACCGGTCCTGCTTGACCTGTGCAGCGAGAACCTTATTAGCCAGGCTGCCGGTGTTTTCTGACACCTTCCGCAGACTCCCTGCTCCCTTGCTCTCTCCATAGTGGCTGGGCATTTATTTCTCAACAGCAGCATATTGTTCTCCCTGAAATGCAACATACTTGGGTGCAGCCTGCTCTGGAATGTGCAAATAAGAGCCAATTGCTTTGCAAAAGCCTCACTCCTGGAGATGGAAGCACCTAGAGTGGCTTTGTTGACATGGTCCAATACAGGAACATACACTTTTGGACTCCCCTTTTGGGCAGGGCTATGGGGCTTGTCCAAACAAGTGCCTACAATTCGAGATGTATTTATTATTAGATTTATATCCCACCTTTTTCTTTTTTAAAGAACTCAGAGCAGCTTCCATCCTCCTCCTCCTGTTGCTCTCATCCTTATCTTCACAACAACAACCCTGTGAGGTAGGTTGGGCTGAGAGTTTGTGACTGGCTCAACATCACGCAATGGGCTCCATGGTTGAGCAGGGACTCGAACCCAGATCTCCTGAATTCTGGGTTCTTAACCACTTAACCACAAAATACTACCAGGGAGCTTTGGAAAATGGAGAGAGTTAAAAAGGCTCCAGTGTTCCTTTCCCACTTCTAGGCTCCCTCCAGGAAGGCACTGGCATTTCTGTCCCAGGGAAGTCCCTTGTTTCATACAACTGGATTCCAGCTGTTATGACCTCTGCAGTTTGCAGCTCCCTGTTGCTAGAGGTGTCGCTGGACCACAGCTTAAAACAAAAGCTCCTCCTCCTTACCTATCAGCCCGTGAGAACTGGTGGAAAGGCCTTTGCTGTTGGATATGTAGAAGCCCAAGTGGTCCTTCTGGTAGGGGGCCGGGTTCTTGTAGTGGTGGATGAGGACGACAAAACTGATGGTCCCCCCGATGGACACAGTGACGTTAGAGTGGGCAACGATCGACACCTTCAGGTCCTTGCTGGCAATCAAAGCGCTGCGGTGGCAAGGCAGGACAAGCCTCTTCCCGTTGTCCACAATTATTTTAGTAGGGGTGACCTCCAGGTAGGCCCTTTCTGGCTTGTCACTGAGGATGGTGATGCTTCTGAAGTAGGTCCTCTGTTTCTTGTGGCCATTTCGTGGGGCAGGGGCACCTATTAGCTGGCCGTTCACAGTCACACCTTCAGGGACAAGGAAGAGGAAACAGAGCAGGGTTCAGAAGCTTAATTGGGAAGACCTTTGGGGAAGTTCTCTTAACAAGAGTTCCATGACTCTGGTGGCTGGGAACTGCATTAAAAAAAAAGACAGTCAAAGAGTGCAGCCAGTCCTCATGGAGAAAGGCTCTGGAAAGGCCCCGTCATTTGTCAGCTTGGAGAAAGCTCTAGATTTGATGGGACACAAGATGCATCTCTCTACGAAAGCACTATCAGAGTTGTAGAAGTAAATATATTGAGCTGACCTAGCTCAGTAACTCCAAGATCTTGTTTTGCTGCTCATACACTTAACATCAGTTCTCTCTTACCAGTACCTCAGCTCCTGGATACAAGATGAAAAGGTTGGCTTTCAAGTGCAAGAAGCATATTTTCTGACTTTATCCACGATAAACAGATAAACTATTTGGAAAGTCTTGCAATTGAGAAGTGAAGAATTCGGAACAGCCTCTTATGTAGGAACTGGTGGGTCATTTTAATGGACTGGATACTGAAGCTCTCTCCAACTGCTTTTATTTATTCAGTTTGGGAGTTTTGGGGCATTTACTTTACTTTTATTTATTTTATTTTATTTCATGCTTTTGTAGACTGTACAGCCAGCAAGGTGCCTCATTCAAATTCTATCTCTTTTTCTCCTTCGCATTTGCAAAACAGAATTACTGACCTCCCTAACAGAGTCATTGTAAGGACCACGCAATGGCAATGCACTGAACACTTCCCATTTCGAGTAGCACTTTAACTGCTCCAAGTATTTCACATCTCGGTAATGCTTAAAGCAAGGGTGGGAACCTGTAGGCCCAGGGCTTCATCTGGCCAGCTGAGCTTCTGCTGAGCTCTGTGCTCCTGCCTCCTGGAGGCTACCAGGGACCAGAAGAGAAGCCAAGGAGCGGGGCTCCCGTGAGCTCTCATCCATGCTCAGGCAGAGTGGAGATTTCCTGGGGCAAAGCTCTCCCTCTCCAGTGGGGGAAACCCACATGAGGCACAGCCAGGCCCCCAGCCAAAGTGCTAGCTGGACGATCGTTCCATGCCCTCCTGGCTTTTGTGCTGTTCCCCCATGCTGAAAGGCCAAGACGGTGCTCCCAAGGCGTAGCTGGCGGTCGGAGCTTTAAGATGCTCTGCTTCTTGGCCTTGCCCCTTTGGTCTTTGGTCCCACCCCCCTCTGAAGTGCAACCGTTGAGAGCTCCTCCGAAAAGGAATCCAGCACTTGAGCTGAAAGACACTCAACACTTCTGAGATGAGAACATAAGAAGAAAAAAAAAGCCCCGCGCGACCAGACGCAAGGTCTGTCCAGCCCAGCATCCCATACACATGGGGGCAAATCAGCTGCCCACAGGATCCCTCAGGCAGGAGGGGGGCAAGACCTCCTCCTGCCCAAGCTCCTCAGCAGTTGGGGTGGCAGGCAGGGCACCTCTGCTAAAGGAGGGGGCGCATGGCCAGCAAGGCTAGTGGTCACGGAGAGTCTTCTCCCCCATGAATCCGTCCAGTCCCCTTTGCAAGCCATCCAGGTTGCCAGCAAATTCCGGTGGCAGCAAATTCCTCAGTTTAGCTACAGGTTGTGTGAAGAAGGACTTCCTTGGATCTCTCCTAAACCTCCCACCCATCAGCCTCATGGGATGGCCCTGGGTTCAAGCACTGTGGTGGCAGAAGAAAAACATCTCGCTCTCCACTTTCTCCATACCATGCACCATTTCAAACTCCTCTGCCATGTCTCCCCATCGGGTACGTCCGAGTTCTACAGCTGGCTCTTTGCCACTATGTGTGTTGCTGTTTTGTGGAGCTGCTTTCCTATATGCCGCACAACTGCTTCCAGATGATCTTTCAATCCAACCCATCTCCACCAGCCAAAATCAGTTTCTGAAGACCATGCAGGGCGGTCGGCCACATGACTGGAAGCCAACATCCAAACCGGAATGATTTCTGCACAGCTCAGCATCACCACCTTTCTGCAAAAAAAGGTGTCCCAGGACCGGCTGGCCAACTCTGGCTGGATCTGAGCCGATCGCAAGGAGGTGACAGATGCCTGTGTTACCATCCTGCAGGCTCAGACCGCACTGTGCTTTCTTCCTTGATGATTTTGCAAAGCCATAACACTTAGAGGCATGCAAATGTCTGGCCAGAAGAAGGGAAGGCATAGCCTAATGAAATCTCTCTCCCTGCCTTACATCGCAGCTCAAGAGACACCCTTTCCCAAGCCAAAAAGATCCCTGGATGAAGGAGAGCAAAGTAAATGGGGGGGGGGGGGGGGTTGAGGTGAGAAATAACCTGCAGGCAAAGTTCCATTGCTCATCTTCATCCTCCCTCATTTCTGCTCAGACTTGGTATGCCCTAGGCGGCTCTTTGGAGAGCTGGGGTGGGATGCAAAGGAAAGCACCATGAACTCGGTGGGAAGGGTAGTTTGAATGCCATGTAATGGCTTGGATACAGGCTTAGCGTACACGTTTGTGCGTGTTTAGACACAGAAAGCCACACAACTCCCAACGTTCCCCAGCTAGCAAGGAAATGGTAGGACTTCTTTCTCTCTAACCATGGGTAGGATTGTACCTTTAGTCTGGTTTAGAACCAACCCACTAAAATCAATGCACAATTAAGTAATGATCCTAAATGACTAACTCAGGGCCTCCTGATTCAAGACATCTAATAAGTAGGATCAATCTGGATCCAACCCAACAAGCATAGCAGAACCCAGTCCAAGGAGACACCTGCCAATCCACAGCAAAGCCAACTCCTAAATTTGTTATCAAAAATCGGATTGGCCTTTAACAAAAATGCAGGGGAACACTGGGTTATGAAACGTGTTGCAAGACGAGGACTTGAATTAGGCAGAGCAAAGGGATTCCTCTTTATGGCTTAGTTTTCTTCCAGATATGCAACATTTAACCATTGCATAGTCTTGATACTTTCCATGTTTCTTCTGCTCCCAGTCTGTCCGGCTGCAAGTAATCCTCTTACAACCACAAATGCTTAGGAATTCCAGGCAAGGCTGGAAGCTCAAGAAGGCCCTGAGCACTAGGTTGGAAACATTTTAACTCAATAGTTCCCATCGGCTGGACTAAACCCGGCTTCTGGAATCAAGCCACGCAGGGCTACGGTTTGTGGTGGCAGCAAACTGTGGCATTTTGCTGCCAAATTTCAGCAGCACGCTGCTACAGAAAGCTCTGAGACAAGCCCTGTGCATTGATGCCGGTGCACATATATTGAATTGTGCATCATGCTTTATGCTGTTACGCTTAACGTTTTGACAGTTTCCCCCTTTGGTCAGCTAAATCAATGTAACCTGCTGAAAAGAACCTGGCAGTCTTCCATGGGGGGGGGGGGATATGGATTTCGATATTTCTGAACAAATGGAAGGGAAGGGCCAGAAGCTCAAATCAAGGGCACTTCCTTTCTTCTTGAATGCTAATAGAATTCTAACTGGTCCTTATTTCCTTTCCTACCTCAGATGATTTGGAGGACGGTGGAGGGATATGTGTGGTTCCATTCCAACCACTTTCAGGACGTCCAAAGCTACCAAGTCCTGCAATTTTTTGAACAGAGAACTTCATTCAGTTCTATCATGGCATCTGAACAATCGTACCAGAGTTCTTATGATCCGAAACCAATCTGAGGATATCCCCTGGCTCTCCATCAATGTTGAAGCAGACCGTTAGCTTGTTCAAGGGAAAGTCGACCACAAAGTGAGGGTCACCATCCGCTGGAGAGACAAAGAGGGAAATGGCCAACCTTAATATCTCCACAGATCAGCACACAGAATACCAAACAGTCACAAAAAGTCAGTTTGCTTAACGCCCTCTTGGTTTTCCTTTCAGCCCATCACAAACTTTTTGTAGTTCTTGGGATTTTCCAAAATGGAAACTAGGAAATGACAATTTGGACAAAACATTGCCATTCCCATTTCTAGGATGCACTGTTCTATTCCATCCAGTCATCACACCATTTTTCATTTTAAGAAGTACATCTGTTGGAAATAATAAACACTAGTGGATACTGCGACAAAAATCTGCAGAGTTAGGTGCTCCTGGTTGGAACCCTGCCCTCTGCCATAAAGGTCCATTCCATTCCCTCGTTGTAAGGCTTTTTCCTTCTGTCCCTTTTGGCCTCGACAGTCTGTTAGTGAACAGATCCAGCTCTGTGTGGACTGGAAAAGCCCTTCCTTTGGAGCAACAAAGCCTTCAAGCAAATTGCACAGCTGCCAGACCTGGGCGTATCTGTTGGCATCCTTAAGTAGGGATGTGCCAGGCACCTGCTTTGGGTGGAAAATCCATTAGATTCCCTGGTTTTTGGCTTCCTGAACTCTGGCAGGCTTTGCCCAGAGTCTGAGTTCTTGGCATGCGTGCCCAGGGTATGTGGGGAGCGGCGGCTGGAGGAGCTTCCGGATAGTGGATGCTTTCAGACTTCTTCCAGGCTTCGTTCTCTTCTTTGCAGAGGGCAAACACCAGAAGAAGTCTGACAAGCCGGTGCAAACAGTTTTCAGAGGGGCTCAGCACTTTCCTATCCCTGATTATGGCCTGTATCATGGTCCACCTCAACAGACCCCAGCTCTGCTCCCCTGGGGAGGCTGCCCCACGGAAGGGGAGAGGAGCAGCTGTAGAACCCGAGCAGCTTGCTTAGAAGCATGGGGCGCTGCCATGTGCAGCTCCATGCAGACCAGCACAGGTGGCACTGGGACTGACACCCCCAGCCCTCTAGGATGGAAGGCAGGCGTCTTCCCAGCCCTACCTGGAGATTTTGGGGATCAAATGGAGGCTTTCGGCATGCCATGCAGGGATTCTGCCACTCAGCGGTGGCCCCTCCCAGCTGATATCCCCAGCTTCGAACTTTAGCTAAGTTACCTCTTCATTGCACGTGGTCACATTGAAACGAATGAAAGGGAATTGGTGCTTTTTGAAATTACCCTGGAATGCACATTACAAGGGCTGCCTTAAGTAGGCACACTATGGGTCAGGTCTTTAGAGGTGGTGCTATAGCATAGAGCAGAACTGCAAAACATGCAGGAAGTCTCTGTTGCAAATCATGGCACCTCTGGAAAAATGCGGGACTTCCCTCACTCTAGAAAAAAAAAAGGCTGGAAAACTCAGGAGAGGCCCTGGAGGAAGAGGATGACACATGAAAAGGATGCATAAATTTCCGTAAGCACGGAGCACAAGTCTGCAATAAAACCCCAACCTTTTGCAGTTTTGGCTGACAGAAGAACCAACAGTCAGAGAAACACATTGCCTTTTATTATTATGGATGCATTTAGCCAGGTAGGGCTGGATTCCCACCCACATTCGAATCTCACAGCAGGAAGTGGCATGCTACAAAATTCTGGGTGCAAGGAATTGAAATGGGGAAGATGAGAAACACGGCCCTTCTCAATGTCAAGACAGAGAAAGAACATTTCTAGCCTGTTCCCTGACCCACTTGGGTGGTGCTCCAAACAATACATTTTGGAAGAGGGGGTGTCAAAACGGTGCTTGAGAGGAGGCAGGTGGGGGAGAGGCTGCTTTTGCTATGAAGGGTCCCTGGTTGGCCAAGCTGAGCAGAGGAGGCAAAGAGCGCCGGCATCCTCAGGGCCAGGTAACTAAAAGTGGGCACTTTCCCAGTGGAGAAATTTATGGTCACTGCTGAAGAATTTGTGAGGGCTGGGCAGGGCAAAGGGAGAGATTTCCTGACGTACGCACATATGACGTGGTAAAAGTTTTTGTAGGGAGCATGTGTGTGCGTGTGCGCATGTGTAATACACAAATGTGCACACACAGGCACAGTGGAATTGCAAACCGCAGGGTCACAGAACCTTGGGATACAAACCCAGATGTGTCTGGCATTCTTAGCGCAGCCTGATTTCTGATCCTGGCTTGCAGGGCGGCGCTAAATTATCCTTTGCCCGTTTGGCCAAAGCAGAAGCGATGGCTTTTCAGCTCCAAGCAGGGTAGCCGGGAGGGAAGGACTGAGGGTGAGGAAAGTGAGCAAAGAAATGCACAAGTCTGAGACTCGCCCCACATGTATCTGGCAAAGGATGGCAGGGTGTTGCACTGGATCTGCCCCTCCTGGTGCACTTCTGTGCAGATCTCAGACACCTGGAGAAGGTAGCGCACTGCTCATAGGAATCTCTTTGCTCTTTTGCTCCCACACAACTGGAATTGTGCCATGGTCTGCTCTATTTCCAAACCCAGTAGTCCAGCCCCATAAGGGCTCAACAGAGGGGCACGATTCTTCTTATACACCCCATTTTCTTCCTCCAGAGCATCTGGTAAGGATGCCCCCAGGTGTCCCCAGAGTCCCACATCCAGGGTCTTCTCATCTGTCCCATATTCCACTCTTTTTCAGGGGGACCCGCCTGGCCACCTCCCCCTTGTGTGGGCTAGAAACACTCTTAATCTGGAGAGTTTTTGTTACGTTTGGAGGAATGGCAGCTGCTGGTCGGTGGCATCAGCACTTACCCGATGTTTTAGTGACTTTTATACTTAGCTCTTCCGGTTTTCCAGGGACAGACCCTAGACATTGGGAAGAGAAGGTAGGGGGAGAAGAAGAGATCTATACGTAAACACATATAAGCAATAACACTGCAATTTGTGCTCTGCCTTTCTCAAACAATGGCTGCGGTGCATTTGCATGCACACTTTTAAAACAGCCAGAGTTCTGCATCTTTAATCTGACATTTAGTCATAGCAATTAATACTTCAAGTGCCAGTCGAGCTGGAGTGGTGCGATCAGGCCCACATGGAAACACAATTCTGCGCTTACCACAACAAATAGCTGCAGCGCGGGTGTGTTGAGTCCTATTCCACATTCCTAATTCTATTCCATCTCCCTAGTTCAGGGGTCGGCAGCCTCGAACACCCAAAGAGCCATTTGGACCCGTTTCCCACAAAAAAGAAAACACCGGAAGCCACAAAACCCGTTTGGCATCTAAAATGAAGAGAACGCTGCATATATCGTTTTTTACCTTTATGCTATGTATACAAAAACTATCGTGTGTTGCATTTATGAAATCAATGAACTGCTACAGAGAAAACAAATTTTTACTTCTGCAATGAACCAAAACATTTTGAACTCCGAAAAAAAAAGACGCTGGGTTGAAGGTTACTTTCAAATATACTACTCAACGTCTATTTGAGTCCTCCTTGTATTTATGAAATAAGAAGCTGAACTTAAATTATGATTCTTGCTCAGATCAACCTTCCGCATCAGTTCCGAAATGGCTTTTTCTCTCTCATCTCCATCCGGATATTTTTCAGCAAAGGCTGTGTGTATATTCTGGAAATGTCTTGCAACATTTGGCTTTTTGTTGTTTGCCAATTTCTCACCACATATTAAGCATACTGGTAAACCAGTCTCATCAGCAGTGAAAGCAAATGAATCTGCCCATGTACCATTGAACGTTCTGTTTTCTTCTGCAACTTTTCTTTTCTAGGATTTATCCATGTTTGGCCTACCGGGGGTTGAAAAGCCCAGTAAATTGTGTGCCAACGGGTGTCGCACATTGGCGGCTGTGACGCATATTTTGAGTGACGGAGCTGCAGCAGAGGGATGAAAGGGCCCCATGCGGCTCCGGAGCCACAGGTTGCTGACCCCCGATCTAGTTTATTGCTTACCAAAACTCAGCCAGTGCCAGGCATGCTCAATTCTTAACTGGCTGGGGGCATTTGGGGGGGGGGGTTACTCCCTTAAGGTTTTTTCTTAAATATGTTTTGTATTTCTGCAACGCTTGGGCTTTCTCCACGCTGGTTGCTCTTTTCTTTCTAGTGCGTGGCTGGTGCCATTTCGTCTACAGAAGCAACCACTGTTGCCCCTGAAGATCAGAAACAGAGACCATTCCAACAACAATATTCATGCTGTGTCTGCGCATCATTCAACAGAAGGTCGCCTAAAATCCCCCCCCCCTTCTCAGATCGCAGAATGCAAAGCAATGGTGCCCCGTCCTTACCTGCCGTCGGTCGCTGCCCGTGTGGTAGCCCTTGCACGATCTCTCCAACTCCTTCGATGGACGGGCCGGCGTAGACTTCCTTTGGGAGGTCAGCCAGAACCGGAAGCTCCTTCATCTTCAGGGAAGTGAAGGGGGTGACAAAGTTATATGTGAGGGCCAATTTCCTGGCTCTTTCCTTTAAATTAGCCCTTTCCTCTTTATTGTCGCTCGTCAGCCAGGACGTCAACAGTTCCTTGATGGTGAGATAGCTCCAGGTTCGTTCCACATAGTTCTGGTCGTGGCCTGAGTTTTCCATTCCATTGGAAGTGCTCCCGGCACGGGTCTGGCCAGAGAGATCTATGGCCACATCTGTTTTCAGAAGGATGTACTTGTCATTGTTGCTGGCCGTCACTTCCACATGCAGGCTGTTGGCCGTCTTGTTGAAGAGCTTCCCAGCAATGACAATTTCGGATCCGTTGAAGTAGTTGGGGAAGAGATTTTGAGTGACTTGAGCCACGGTGTCTGTCGGATAATCAACCCGGATGTTGGAGAGGAGAGGCGTCCTGATCTCATCATAGAATCTGTGCAGGAACAATTAGTTAATTGTTTGTCTCGCTGGCTAGGAGCAACACCATAAATAGGCAAGCAGAGCCTAGTGGAAGCAAAGAGACAGAAGACAAACTTCTGCAGAACTCCTGCAGAAGACAAAAAAAAGCAGGGAGGGGGGATAAACCAGCCCCACACGACACTACACAAGGGTTGACCCATTCCCATGCACCCATTGTCTGGGTTCGCACAATATGACAAGCAACCCTGTGGGTCCTGGTTTTAACCGATGATCCACCTAACCTACAATCAAGCGGTTTCTATGCCAGTGTGGTTTCCACCCTCCCTGCTGAGTCCTCCCACTGTTGGCGTGTATCCCATCAGCCACCACAGCTGGAATTCAACCCCAAGGAGCATCACTCCCTGCCTATGTGGCTTGCTTCTTCCTCACTGGCTGCACAATGAGGCGAGATGGCTGGACAGTTGCTCTGTCCAGCTGTTTTGTGCTAGTTGTATATGTTCAGACAACATGCCAAGCCAAGGTGGTACAGTGACACCATAGAACAAGCCATTGTTTCTTTGCTGTGGCTTCTAAAAACCAATCTTAGCATGGTTTCAGACAATACAACAAACCAGCAGGAGTAAAAAACCTCCACAGCTGGTTAGAAGTGCGGAACTGGGATTCAGGCGATCCGGGTTCTAGTCCCCGCTTGGCCATGGAGCGCACTGGGTGACTTTGGGCCAGTCCCAGGGCTCAGCCTACCTCACAGGGTTGTTGTTGTGGGGACAAGATTGAGAGCAGCAGGAGAATGACGGAAGCCACACTGAGTTCTTCAAAGGAAAAAAGGTGGGATATCAATCTGATAAATAAATAAATCAATGTTTTCCTTGGTACCATCTCGCTTCTCCTGGTAAACACCCTCTGCTCAGTACACTTCCTGAGAAGCAAACATGTTTACTCAGAAGCAGGTCCCACTGAACTCTGCGGCTAAACGAGCAACCCAAGAGCGAACGAGCCGAAGGCGGCCGACCGCGCTTCCCCACCAACCCTTTCAGCTGCGCGCCGGCATCTTGGTCCTCCTGGATGTGCCGCATCATGCCGCAGTTCTCCAGCGCCAGTCTCTCCAGCAGCTTGTAGTCCACGTCGCTGCCGATGCCGATGGTGAAGAGGCAGAACCTGCTGCCGATGGCCGCCCGGGTGTTGTTGACTATCTGGGCCGGCCGTACCTCCCCCACGGTGGGCCTCCCGTCGGTCAGGAAGATGATCAGGGACACGCTCTGTGCCTCGATGTCGTTCTGGGCAATGTAGTCACTCAGCATTTTGGAGCTGATCTGCAGGGCCCCATTGATGTTGGTGCCTAGGAGGACGACATACAGGTATTCTCAGAGGTAAGGGAAGTGTGGACACTTTCAACTTTTAATTGAACAGAAGCAACTTAGCTCCCTGGGAGGGGGTGACGTTTCACTTTTGGGGGGCAGAGAAAGCAGAAGGTGGCAGCCCCCACCCAGCAGTGACCAGGGGGCAAAACTCGGGGGAACGAAAGACACTCTCTCTTCCCATGCTTCTGTCCGTCCGACTTGTATTTCGCCCAAAGGGGAAGGCTATGCAACGGCAAAGGGATCTTCTCAGGGGGTCCTTGTGGCAATTGAAAGGGGCTCTCAAGATAGGCAGTGAGCCCCCTCCCAGAAAATGGGAGGGGCATTTCAGTTCAGCCCTAGGTGGAATACCTGTCGGGCCAGTGGAATGCTGCCCGGCAAGCCACCTGGACTTGGTCTACCTGCAAAGGTGTTTGGGGCATCACCTCTATTCTGCTTTCTGATGCAGGTGGGTGTTAGAAAATGCACGGAAGGACAGATGGGGTCTGGCAAATGAGGCTAGAATGGGGTGAAGGCAGGCATTCCATTCCAGGGGCTGAAGAGTTAAGGTTCTGCCCTTTCTTTCTTCCCCTAAGGGGAGTGATGACAAGATCTGAGACAGTTTAGCTCAGAAAAGTGGCAAGTCAGAGAGGTGGCTGAGCTGCTCCAATCAGGCATTGCAAGGAGCTGCTGCTCTTCCTCTCTCATAATCCTAGAAGCCAGCAAGGCTTCTCTGGGTGATCTGAGGGTCCAACTGGCCACGAAGGGGATGCAGTTTGCTGGCAACTCACATCCAGTAACAGCTATTAAAACGGGGGCAGGGGAAGTCTGTCTTCCAAAAATTGCTGGACTGTAACTCCCTTATCCCTTTCCTTTGGCTTTGCAGGTTTGGGCTGCTGGTCGTCCGGGTCCAAAAACATCTGGAGGGACGCAGCTCCCTCCCCACAGAGAGAACCGACACCCCCCGAGTTCAATGTTTGTTCTTCTTCTGCAATGAATTGTGCAGAAGACAAAACAGTTGTGGGGTTGCAGCTGTTGTTTCCCCAGAAAATAGCTCAGATCGCGGAATGGGTACGAAAGAGCACGTGAGACGTTTGCATACGTTTCTACCAATGTGTGCATTTGGGGGACATGGTGTGGAAGCCAAAAGTAATTGCATCCCAGGAAGTGCAAATTAGACTGGTTAATATGCAAACTTGATGCCAAGAGCATTTCCACGAGAAGCTGCAACATTTTGAGCAGCAAGGCGAGGCTTCTCAAGAATGTCAGGCTTGCTGTCCAACCACTGAGCTCGGCTGGACCAAACTACCGAGTTCAGCAGAAATGTCCTGCTGCTTGACAAATATTAAGTGTTTCAATGTGCATCCATCTCCCATAAGGCCCGTTATGGAGACCCTCCTGCTCCATTTCTGCAGAAAACGGCAGGCTGAATGATTCCCTCCTCCAACAGACCAGTCGCTCTGGCTCCCTCAAAGACACTGAACTCCTTCGCTTCCAGAGAAAGCCATTTGCCAGGCTCTCCCTTGCTCGCTGTCTTTTCCAATATGTGTGTTCTCCCAAAGAGGATTAGACCAATCTGTGGGGCAGGGGGACAAGTCTGCTGCCATGTTAAATTCCCCAAATGCACCTGGCACAGGTTCACAGCGGGTCTTGTGCCAGCACCCCCAGTAAGCCCATGGCTGGGCCCCCCCAGGGCACACATCAAAGCTGGAGCTGCTCTGAGGTGATCCGGCAGGGTTCCTCCTCTGCTCACCTGGATTTGGAGGAGGGAGGAGTGCTCCCTCCTGGCCATCTCAGCCATTCTCCTTTGCTCCTTCCATGTGCAGAGCCCTGTCCTAGCAGGCTGACCCCCCCAAGCCTCCTTAGCTCTTCTTGCATTCTGCCCATGCTCAGAGGGAACCTCTTCTTTGATAATGCAGAGTCCCTGTCCCTTTAGCTGTTGCACAAATGGCAAAAATTCAGCCAGCACAGTTTTCTCCAGCCTAGAGACATTGTTTTAGTGGAAAACTGGGACCGCTGGAGGCTTGCTTCCTCCATAACCTAAAAGCCTATATCCACCAAATAAATGCAACTGACTGAACCACCACCACATTCGTTCGCGTGTTGCAAGGTTGCAGGTCCGATGACGAACACAGAATGCGACCTGCAGGCCAAGATTACCTCCCGTCGGTGACATATTGTGGATGTAAATCTTCGCATCCCTCACATTGTTGGGAGTCACTGGAACCAGCCGGTCTTGCTGCCAGACCTTGATCTTGTTGGAGAAGCCAATGATATTGAAATGATCTTCGGGTCTTAGATCCTGGAGGATGGTGAACAGGGCATCTTTGGTCTGGAAGGAAAGAGAAGGCCCGCCAGGATGAGTGCAAGCCTTCTGGATGGAGGGCTCGTTCAAATGTGTGTGATCTGTCTGCATCCACAGACGATCTGCATGTTTGAACACCGGTGCAGCATGCAGGCACAGGCCAGTTCTAGCAATGCTCAGCTACAGCAAGGACAGGTCTTGCTACATCGAGTGTGTCTCCACTGCCCATTCGAGATCAAGCCACATCAAAATACCTTGCATTAAACCAAGGAAATAGATGCACTGTTGCTGAGAGAATTCATGTCACCTTCTTTCACCTCTGCAATTACTGTGACGATTGGAACCAGGTTCCAAGGGAACAGGAAAATCTGAGGAGGTGGGTGGGATGGAGGGAAGGTGTTCCAAAGATGGGGAAGCCACCACAGAGAAGGCCCTTCCCTTAGCGGCCACCTTCGGAGCCTCTGGTGGGATTGGCCCTTGGAGGAAGGCCCCAGAGGATGAGTGCCATCTCTGGGGAGGTGGGGGTAAGTTCCACCAGACCGCTGTGGAAATGAAGCATTAGCGAGAGAGAACTTGGCCTTGGGCTCATGCACTTTCTCAAGGTGCATACAATAAGCCAAGCACATGAACACACCGGCACATCTGCGCAGGTAAGCAACCTTGGGAGCCACCCTATATGGAACGTTCTCCCAGGTTTCAGGCGGGCTTCTTTCCTTGCTCTACCTAGAGAACCTGGCGATTCAGCTGGCACCTTCTTCATGCCGACCAGGAGCAATAGCACTGCAAAAAGATAAGCGAACAAGGGTGGGGCCTTCTGATGCAAAGCGGGGGCCTCCAGCCACATCCAATGTCCTTGCGCAATGAAAGGAGAGGGGAGGACTGAGGGCTCCAGGAATCTCTGGCCTCATCGTGTGTGGAGGCTGCATGCTACGGCAAGGTGTCAGGTGGATCTCACCTGATCACTTTCAGTTGGGCTCGCTCTCCCTGTGCACCTGCCAAAGCTCCAATACCCTTTGAAACAGTGCTCCCCAGGTGTCGTTGCCAGCAGGGATCATGGAGAGGAATTATGGGAATTGTTGCTGACGGCATCAGTTCCACTCATGTGTTCCCTAATCTTAGTATAGTGATCCCGGCGGCTTTCCGACTTCGTATGGAGAAATGGGTTCTGGAGAAGAAGGGTTGCTTCCAAGACTCTCTGCACCCAGATTTCTCCTTGGTGTTCTCCGTTCCAAATTATTCAGTCATATTTTGCTGAGCGATCTGTCATCTTCCTTTAAAAAAAAATTCTGGGCTTCCTGCAGGGTTTGAGCGATGCAGCCATGCTCCTGCGAATGGAAAGGGTACTGAGGCATGGCTTCCCTCCCACTTCCCAAACGGACGAGGCCAAACACTTGGAAAAGAAGGCTGACTCGAAATAGAGGCACGCTATGCCTGGCATTTTTTGTAAATGGGAAAATAGCAGATTATTCTAAAGTCTAAGTGGAAATTCATGCGAGGAGAATTTCCAAGTATCCTCTGCCATCAAAGAACCCACTGAAAGACCCTCAGAGTCAAGAATTCCATTAAATACCGTTCCCTGTATTTCTACAGTTTAGCTCAACAGGCTCAAATTGGAGAGCCAGTGGGGTGCAGTGGTGAAGAGCACAGGACGGGACTCAGGAAATTGGGGTTCCAGTCCCTGCCCAGCCATGGAACCAAGGGGGCGACTTGGGCCAGTCACAGACTCTCAGCCCAGCCTACCTCACAGGGTTGTTGCTGAGGGAACACGACTGAGAGCCGGATGAGACTGATGAGAGCTGCCTCGAGTTCTTTACAAGAAAAAAGGTGGGATGTAAATCTAATAAATGAAGAAGTGGACATGGGGTTGGTGCTAGGTACCAAAACGATCTAGGGTGAAGGACCAAAAAAGCACAGATCTGAATCTACTGATCTGCAGATCTGAGGCGAGGCAGGTGTGGGCCAAAAGCCAGTTGATGGAGGGACAACTGCCACACCAAGGGCCAAGAGGTGGGTTAGGGGGTCCCCCAGAGATCTGAGACTCCAAAGGAAAGATTTGGGGCTCTGGCCATTGAGAGCCACTCCCTAACACCACCTCTGCTCAAATGCTCAAGCTGCCTTTTCCAACGACCTCCAGATATGTTGGATGACAACTCCCACCATCCCCAATCCGCCTGGCTGGAGATGATGGGAGATGAAGTCCAGCCCCTATGGAGAAAGGCTATGCTGAAGTACTTTCCCGGTGCAACAAAGCCCAACGGTATCCAGCATCCCATGGCCAAGTCCCCTGCTCCCGAACCCTTTCAGGCGCCAAACAATGAGGCTTTCCTAGTCCCAGTTGCAAGGAAGAATTCGGAGCGAGCCACAGACAAGCCAGGCCTCTCTAGTCACTTCCCTCCTGCTCTCGCGGGGGAGCCGATGATGTCAGGCCAAGCGCATGACCCATCGCAATGGAATCCGAAGTCATCGCTCCAGCTGGCGCTCCTGGGGATGGCTCCAGGGACCCTCGCCGACAACGGACGGTCTCCTTTGCTCTGGAGTGCGGCTCTGATGCAGCTGCCTGTATGCCAGATGGGGGCCTGCGGCGCCTGCTTTCGCACCTTCCTCTGGAACGGGAAGCTGGCTTTGGAGCGCCGGCCTTCGCCAGCCTCAGTGCAAGGGGTGGCATAGAAATGTTCTAATAATAATAATAATCTGCAAAGTGGAGGTGGCAGGGACTCTTCCCATAAGCATAAGGACACCTGACAGTGCAGGAGCACTGCAATTCCAGGAGTTTTGGATTAGTGAGGAGGAAGTCATCCTCTGCCACCCAGAAGGTGGGAGTCTGGGGTGGGTGAACAGAGATATAGATACTGAACTACAAAAGACATATAGGACAGACGCACTGGATCGTCACCGCTGCCTCCTTCTTTGCGAGCTCTCTGCAGATGAGATCTGCACGCTACCTCACCGGAGGTGGCCTGTGAAAAGTTCACCCCCCCTTCCTAGACCCCTGTCTCTTTGCAAAGACCTTCCCCTGCTTTCTTGCTAGCTGTCAATCATCCACAATTCCTCTTGAAGCAACAGCAGAAAGATGAAGGGACCCAAAGGCAGCTACTTTTTAAATATATTTATATCCCACGTTGTTATGCAACAAGTATCTGCAAATCCTGCTTTGGGGTTTCTGGGCCCATCTGAATAGCCAGTGGAGGCTGACGGCACCACTGCCAATGGGGCAGTGCATCCACTCTGAGTTTCAGCCTGAATTTTTACGGAGTTGCCCATGGTGCTGAACTCTGGCTCTGCTCTAACCAAAGCAAGGCAGGGGCCAGCTCCTCACCTTCAGGGGCAGTTCTCCAGGCCCCAGCCCTCTGAAGGGCCCACTGCTGCTTTCTGCCCTGGCCCATGTTTAATTTAGCCACCCTTCCTTTAATTTCCCACAAGCCCCTGCCCTTGACCTTGCATCACTGTGGGGGATTGTGGGAAACTTCAAAGGTGGACTGGCCCAGCCATTTGGCAGTGTACACCACCACAGCCAGGAAAGCCCATTGGGGGCCATGGAGGGAGAGGAGCCCTCTCAAAGGTAGGGTTGGCCCTGAGACAGCAGGACCGGCCCTATCATTAGGCAAAGTGAGGCAGCTCCCTTGGGGCCGTTTCCAGAGGACGGGAGGGCAGTGGAGACAAGCCGTCCATTCTCCTCTCTTGGCAGAAAGAGCCATGCATCTCCCGTGCCCCTTAAACTTGACCAAGGGCGCTGAAGTAAGATTCAGCAGCTGTTCCAGCCACCTTGCACATCTGGAGTGGCAGACGGAGCCGTCTTGCCCTTTGCTTCTGGCAGCCAAAAGTATTGGGCCCACACTGGGGAAGGATGCCGGCAGCACGCCATGCCTCTGCTCCTCCTTGGACCGGCCCAGGGGCTCCGCCATGACCTGAGAAGCAGGGAGACAGGGAGCCTTCGAGAAGCCCCTACCCGAGCCCTTTCCAGCCGCCCGGGGGGCGATGCAGTCATTCCCAGAAGCTGCGGTGACGACACTGGGCCAGCCAGGGGAAACTCTCGGATGGGAACTGCGGCATCAGTGACATTTCCGCCGCACAATCCCTCCCTTGTTCTCCCGCGTGGGCCTGGGGTGAGCACGAGGGTGCTGTGCCTGTGGAATGGAGGCCAGGCGGTTCAAGAGGATGCTGAGCTCAACAGCTTACGGGGCCTTTGCTCTTCCAACACACAACCGCCTTCCTGTGCAGGAGAAGCCCAGCCACAATGGCCCCATTCTGGGGCCCTGTCCATTCGCCCCCAGTTCCCACTCAGAGCGGCTCTCCTCCAGACGTCAGATAACTATTATTTCCCCATTCTGTGCGCCCACCCCCCACCCCCTCGTCCACAGCCCTCATTGTCTCAACTCTGTGTGCAGGGCCGAGGGAAGACCCAACGTGGCTGGGCACCACCAGAGTGGGTCTGCAACCGTGGGTCCTGCCCCCCCCCCCCCCGAAATTTTCTCCACCCCCCATTTTTGCATGTAAGTAAAAAAACAGAAGATGCTTTTGTCTAGAAAGGGCTGGCAAAAGATGGACAGGGAAGGGTGGACCACTGAGGGTCCCTGAAAGCTGCATCTCTCTCGCACACACGCCCATCCTTGGCCTGAAGTTCTGCAGAAGCTTTGAGTTCAGCCCCCAACCCCAGCATCCCTGAATGCTGGCCATGCTGCCTGGGGATGATGGGCACTGAAGACAAAGTGTCTGCATGCCACCAAGTTGAGCAGAGCTGGCTGGTGGTCGGGCTGGCCCAAGAGGTCTGCTTCCTCAGGTGAGGCGGCCACACTGCTTCTGGCCCACCTGCGTCCAGCCGGCTGGGCCGGGAGGCTGTTGCTCCTGCACTGACTTCAGTCCCCTCACGCAGGCCACCTCCGCTGTGGCTGTGGCACATGGGGGGAGAGGGCATGGAGTGGGAAAATTCCGCTAGATCCTGGCATTTTATGTGCCTTCATGTTATAAACTGCCTGCACCCCTTTTTCTCAAGGAAGCACCCAAACATTCCAGGCCAGGATACTGATCGGCATTGGCTGTTACTTCAAGAAGTGGGACCTGGTGGTTCCCCAAGGAGCTGCCGGGGCTGTTGCTTTGCTGATCAGGAAGAACTGATAATGCCACCAGGTTAACAGCATTGCAATCACCCTCATTTGCATGCCAGGACCCACAGTAATCCCTGTGCCTCCGTGGTCAATATGTTACTCTCCTGTAATCAATACCATTGTCTTGAGTCCCTCTGCAGACCTCTCACCTTCTTCTGCCTGTGTTCCCCTTATTTTGTCATCAGCTGCTATGTCATGTGGCTCAGAATCTATAAAACACTCTGAATATGTGCTAAATGCTCGCACACCACTACCCGGCCACATGCTGTCGTCAGTAACTGGGGGGGCCTGGGTGATCTTTCAGTAAAACTGCTGAGGTTCAGGGCAAAAGGGGTCTTTCCTGACTGAACCCCATTATCCTGCCTCGCAGCTGCTATTGAGGCTTCCCAGGGGCCAGATGGACTGGGAGGCCAAGCAATTACAAGATTAGCCAACCAGCCCAGTGAGGAGGAAGGCAGCCCCTGGGCCCCTGCCACCCCAGGCACGATGCTTCACAACTATAAAGAGGACTAGTGCTGAAATGAATTGGATTTGCGGGGAGGAGGATTCCCACACAGCCCCTTGCGTTCAGAACGTCTCTGGTGCAGCTTCCAGTATCTCCAGGTAAGGCCAGAGGACTCCTGCCTGACACCTTGGAAAGTCGTGGCTGCTGGCCAGTGCTGACAACTCGGGGCTAGGTGCACCAGCGGCTGTCCGGTACGATGAACTGCCCCCGGTCCTTGCTCCTTAAATGCTGAACTCACCCATGGGGTGCGCCTCAGTTTTTCAGAGGGATACTCATGAAGCTGAAGGCTGCAAATTTAGCTGCCGCATTCTAAGCTCAGTCAGGTTTTGCCTGTCCCTTCTCAGTGTGGCGTTCTGGGGACCCTTGCAAAGGGAAGCAATGCTCAGGTGTCTGATAGCCACAGCTTTGCTTTTAACAACGACACCTGAGCTCCAGAAGTAGGTGGGAGGTATTCCTGGAGCCCACTTTAAAACTGCAATCTGCATTGTCCGCCGTATCGCAATCTGCTTCCTTTCTGGGCTTTTCCCCTGGTGGAGAATGCGAAGCACAAGTGAGCTCAGGGCTCCCGTGACTCTAATAAAAAGGATTTTGTCCTAGCTTCCCATATCAGCCATGCCCAGAAAGAAACAGAAGCTGCACCTTTGCTGTTCTTGACCACACCGAAACTTCCCGCAGAGATAAAATCAGTTTCTGGCTGAGTTCTGACCCTTTATAAAGTTCCCTGTAGGTTTTCTGGACACGCACTGCACCTCCCGGGGCAGAAACAGAGGTGGCTCTATTGTGTGGCTGCAGTTAAGATGTCTAACCTGTAAACAGAACTTATGGGGAGGCTGCCGGGGTCCCTGCCCCAGTTCGCGAACATCCTTCCTTCTCTCGAAACACTTTTTGTCCTGGGCGTCAAATCTTCCCAGGGTGTCCATGGAAGCTTCCTTCACAGGACACAGAGGAACATCTGGTGTTCGTGGGGGCAGACGGGGCAATTTTCAGCAGGACCACAGTGCAGGGAAGAGGTTGCCCCCCCCCCCAGGTCCATCCCACCCCCACAGGGCTGATCTTTAAATTTTAAAACAGAATTTCCAAGAGGATCCTGCTTCCAGGGATGGCTTCCCCGAGGGGGTTGTCTTCCTTTAGAGGAGAGGGCATTGGAAAAGCTGCTGGGAATATAATACAAGAGTGGAACCACAAACACAGATACCAAAAAAGTAAGCTGCCTTGAGCCCTTTGTAGGAAAAAGGCAGGATATAAATCGGGGGAAAAGGGGGGAGGGGGAGAAACTAAACAAAAAGACAAAACAACAACACCACAGTAACCATCACATAAATATTGAACTGGTCTTGAAAGAATTGCTTATCATATGTATGGATACATATATGCTCTCTCTCGCAGACAGAAATATTCAAAGTTCCTGTGCTAAGGGAACCTATGGGGGCAGAAGGCGTTCACCCTATAGGAGATCTCCAAAAGCTACTCATCCCCAGTGCCATGGGGTGCAGTGGCCAGACTTGGGGACCATTCCTGATCCTCAACCTGGAACCCTCCAGACCTACCCCCAAGATTGATTGATTGATTGATTAAAGGCTTTTCTAACCTGTGCACTACAAGCGTTTCGGGACAGCTTACAAAAAATAAGCTCGTTGGAATAAAAACATGCTGGGCTCCTCAGATGAAAGAGCCGCTTCTGCAACGACCATGCGGCTTGGGAGATGATGGGCATTGTAGTCTAACACTTCCAGAGGCTACTCGATTGGGCCAGGCTGAGCTGATCCATTTCAGTCTGCCAGATGCTGGTGAGCGGACCTCATTGGCCAAGCCTTGGTGGCCGAGCTGCACTGAGACCTGGCCTCAGAAGAAATTCCTGAGACGAAGCGACTTCCCTAGCCTACCTCACAAGGTTGTTGTGAGGATAAAAGTGGAAATATAAATAATAAATGCATAAAAGCAATCTGCTAATTTTGCTACTTCCTTACTAGAAATGGGGCTGAATTAAATTCCTGCCTATCTGTATTGGCCACATTTAATATGCACAGTTAATTCCAGCTGACCGCCTGTCAGAACGTTAAATTTAGTTCTGTACAAAAGCACCACGAGAACCTCCATCTTTTTGCCCATTACCCATTTATTTATTGCCTATTATTAATAATAATAGTATCAAAATTGTTTGCAGAGAAGAAGCTTTTACAATGGGGTGAAATCGGGGACAGCTCATGGGCTGCAGAACTATTGAACTATGATTTATCAGAGTGCAGTTCTGTAGAGGAAAGGCATCTCTGGAGCAAACTTGGATGGGTCTTTCCACATAAGCTTGACACATCTCCCTTATTTCAAGGAACAGTTCCTGATTTATCAACCTTATTTATCTGTAAGGTACATCCAGTATAATGATTAAAGGGTGGCATATTCTAATAAAATGCTGACTTGTGAAGCATATATGAGGACTTGTCTTGTCTTTTCACATTACAGCCTCAGAATGATTTCTGTATCTTGTAGGGCTTCAGGTAGAAACCCAGGGGCTTCCAAAAGCCTTCCTGGGCAGGTTCTCCAGCTGATGGCAGCTGCATTTCCAACACGCTTGGAGAGAGTGCTTCCTCTGACAACCGCAATTCCAAGTGCAGCTTCCTGCATTTCTTAAGTCTCGGTGAAATGAAAGGAAAACAAAAGCAGGGCTGGGACTCTGGCATCCTTTTTTAACCAAGGCTCCACTGTGTGAGCCAGAAATGCTAATCCTTCCCTAATCCAAGCCTTGTCAGGAGGAGAGCAAAACCCTTGCAGAGGTTAATCCATGACCGACCGAGCTGGCCTGTTCACACCAGCTCCTGGCAGGGAGAAAGCCTTAATCCTGCATCCCCCGGGCTTTGTCGCTGACTCCGCGTTGCCTGTGCCCCATTCAGCAAACTGGACTCTTTGGAGGCAGAGCGTTTGCTCAAGTAGACTGACTCCTTCTTCAGAGTGAATTTCGGGGGCCCAGGAAGCTGGAAGAAGCTCCCAAACAAGGCCCAAGAAACTCCATTCCATGCAGGCCACAAGGTCAGATGCGTCCTTCCCATCGGGACTCCCCGCTCCCCAGGCAGGACTGGTGTCCGTTGGTGGCATGGTTGGGAACTGGCTGAGGACCCATGTCCAAGCAAGGGCTCATAGACAGGAGTCCCCTGGAGTTAGAATCATAGAATAGCAGGGCCGGAAGGGGCCATGAAGGCCATCGGGTCCAACCCCCTGCTGTGGCAGGACACCACGTTACACCATCCCACTCAGAGGGCTGTCCAGTTTCTTTCTGAATTTCTCTAGAGTGGGAGAGTGTTCCTCATTGTTCCTCCTCTTCCCATTGCAGCTTGCCCACCAGCCTCTTCCGCTGGAGGTGCTGAGGAAGAGGAGCAGAAGATATCCTTGCCAATGTGGTCCCTGGCTTTCTGCTTCTCAAGCAAGCAAGCGGAGGAGAAAGAATGAGCAGCCAAAGAAAGTGGCAACCGTGGCCATGAGAAGGTGGACCTACTAAGCTGAGCTTAGTCTCCAAGGGACACTGAGCAAGGGATGTGCCTGAGCCAGGCCCAGTTTAAGGTGTTGGTGATGACCTATTAAACAGCTTAGGGCCTGGTTACCTGAAGGAGCGTCTCCTCCATATGTGCCTGCCTGCCCCTTAAGATCTGGGGCAGAGGCCTTTTCCGGGAGCCCTCTCAGGAGCTTAGGAGGGTGACTACCCGGAGGAGGGCCTTCTCAGCGGTGGCACCCCAGCTATGGAATTCGCTCCCCAGAGAGGTCTGCCTGGCACTGTCACTTTACTCTCTTCAGCGCTGGGCTAAAACCTTTCTATTTTTGCAATATGTTAAGGTTTGTCCATTTTAATATGGGTTTTATTGTTGATTGTTTAGGAATTGGATGAGGATGCTGTGTTTACTCTATTTTACCTTCTTGTTAAACTGTCCCGAGGTGATGGTAAGGGATGGTCTAAAAAGGTTTTAAATAACAAAATAACGGAGGACCTTCCCCGACTCCCAGCTTTCGATCAGGTGTCACACACCCTGGATGCTCACCTGCCTCAGCTTCATTCCCACCATGGAGGCGCTACTGTCAAGCACAAACACGACATTCTTCGGAAGCGGAGGGAGATCTTTGGGAGCAAAATAGTGCACGAAGTAGCCATTAAAAACCTGGTGGGGTGAGAAGAGCGGGAAAGGAAAACGATCCATAACTCCAGACTGTGCTAGGCCTCAGCAAGCTCTGGAACTTGGAGGTTGCTAAATGGAGGTTCTACCTGGTGGGACAGGAGCAAGTGCGGGTCACCACACCTCATGGAGAACATATAGAGCTTTAAAAAGCACAGAATGCGGGGACCAAAATGCAGCAGGGGATGGAACAACCCTGCCACAAAGAAAGGATGCAAGACCTGGGCTGTTTTAGGGTTGTGCGTGGCTTGTCAGCCATTGGGTTCGTATGTAACAAGCAGCTTTGGTGTGCTCCGGACATGCTCCATCATTCAAAATGGCAGGCCACTGTGACAACAGGACCAGCAGGAAAATTCACCTGTGCTGGCTCTGTGCTGTGTGCCAAACAGACTACTTTTCGTTTAGGAAAAGGGACGTCCAATGGGACAGGACAGAGGTGTGGTAAATGATGTACAGTGTGGAGAAAGTGGCTAAGAAACAGCTTTTCTCCTTCTTTCATAACACTAGAATTCAAAGGGGATGCCCCCTGAGGCTGACTAGGGAGAGATTCAGGACAGATCAAAGGGAGTTCTTCTTGCACGATGCATAATTTAAGCACAGATTTCAGCGTCACGAGATGTAGTGGCAGTTGCCGATTTGAATGGCTTCAAAAGGGGATGAGACAGCTCTCATGGGGGATAAGGCTATCCGTGGCCACTAGCCTCGATGGCTACATACTTATTCCAGTATCAGTGGCCTCTCTCTGTGCAAGCAGAAGGAAGAAGTGGCCTGCTGAACTGGCCTACACAACCCTACCCTCTGGCCAAGGACACCACACTCCCAACCTGGAACTCAAGGACGCTTGGATGGGAGTCTTCAGCAGGTCTCCCATCCAGGCACTGACCAGAGCCAGTCCTGCTTAGCTTCAGCAAGGCAACTGTCTCATGAACCTTCAGACCATGCAGTGGCACCAGTGCAGCTGCACCGTAACCATCCTGGTCAGGCACATCTTTAAAAAGCAGCTTCCTGGAGGTTCGCACAGCTATGTGCAAGGGCTACCATACTCCCGTTTAAGGGAGACAAGAGCAGATCTCTCCGTCTGCCGTTTCCAGAATGGCTCAGGTGGAATCCCAGCCACTACAGGCTGCCCCTGAACCTTTGGCCGCTGTTTCAGAGCCTAGCGAAGCCGCCGCACAATACCACAGGGCCTCATCTTTGGGAATACTCCTCGGGCTTGCAGGTTCACCACTGGCTCTCCACTGGAAGATCCCCTAAGAGGACAGTGGCACGAGGGGCTGGGCGGAATTGTTCCATGATCGGCACAGTTAATAACGGGGCAAAGAGCAGCAATGCACACCACACCTGGACATCCCCGACGCTCAGATCCCTGTTGACATCATATCTGATGATGAAATCGCCTAGGAGGCCATTTCTCGCGATCTTGGCTTGCTGCACCACGGTGGGGTTGAAAGTCACCTTGGCTAAAGTTTTTGTCTGGCCAACCACAGTCGAAGGAGGTGGGGAAGCATCATCTGCTGGGAAAAGACCACAGTTGGTTTGGGCAGGGCTTGCACCCGCACAACAGCCGAACGGGGGGTGCCCTGCCTGGATCGGCAGCCTCCTGACTTCCCCTTTGATCTGCGTAATGTGAAGGCAGATCAGAGCTACGTTCTCCACTCCACCGCGTGGTCCCTTGGCTGCGCTATGGGCGGAGCAGTGGGGTCTCCAGGCTCCGAGGGCCTTTGCACCAGGAGCCCCCAGTGGGCCCCTCGCTCGGTGAGTCGCCCTTGTCACAGCCAATGTCTCCAGCGCTCATCCTCTCTCCCGTCATGGCTACTGCTTGCTTGCTTGGCAACAGGGAACAGGTGGTGGGCTCTGCCAATGGTGGCGTCTCCGCTACTCCTTTGCAGCACCACCACCGCCTGGGCCTGAGAGAGAGGCAGGTGAACAGCCAGGTGAAGAAGGGGAGCAACTCTTGCCTGCAGAACCCAGTCGGGATGTGGGTCCTCAGCAGTTGGGACACGGAGCAAGGGAGTTTGCCTGACGCTCCTCCCGTGAGCTGACCGGCAACCCTTATGGAAGCCCCTCTCTGTCAGGCGCTGCCACTCATCCACAGCACTGCTGTCTCTACCACCAAGCATCCTTACTGGAGGCTAGGACTGGAGCCCAAAAAGGCTCCTGAAGAATGGAAAGAGACCTCCGTACCCTCAGGTGAGCCGCAAAGCAGGCAGAAATACAAGCCCATCCCTCACTCCCCACTCCAGAGCTTTCCCTACAAGCAAAAGTGACAGAACTGAGGCTGTCATACTTTGGACACATCCTGAGAAGGCCAGACTTCCTGGAGAAGGCAATCATGCTAAGGAAAGTCGAAGGCGGAAGAAGAGGAAGAGCAAATACAGGATGGACGGACTTCATCAGGCAAGCCACCGCTTTGAATTTACAAAAGCTGAGCGGGGATGTCATAGATAGGGTATCTTGGAGGGCTTTCCTTCATGGGGTCACCAGAAGACAGAGATGACTGAGCAGCACACGACCACAAGGGCAGTCCCTCACTTCAGCAACCCTTTCCCCCCTCCAACAGTCATCTCCAGAAACAACAGGGCATTAGTGGGGGGGAAACAGCTAGGAGTGCTTCTCTCCTACGTTCAAGAAGAGAGAGACCAGTTTTTCGACTGGTGCTTCCCCTGGAGATCTGCCACAGATCAAGGAGGTGGTTGTGCTCAACTGTTTATCTTGCTAACATCTTCCATCTGCGGCATCTGAGGACTCGCTCCACAGCCTCCCACTAGGAACTTCCTCTGGGCCAGCGTCTCAAAACAACTGATGCAATTCTCTCCTTCCCCCTATGAGCCTTGATGTTCCTCCAGCTTAATGTTGTTTTGATGTGTCATACTACAACTCCCAGAAAGCATGCTGGATGGGATGATGGGAATTGTAGTCCAACACATCTGGAGGGTGCCTGGGAAAGGCTGCACTGCCATAGGAGTCATGAACCAGGACATCTCAAGACCTTTTGGTGTGATCCTGTTCACCCATGGATAGTGGATGGGTGGACAGCTTGTAGTTCTCCAGAGGTTTTGGCCTGATACTTCTAGGTTTGCTAGGACTGATGGGATTTGTGGACCTCCAGTGGTTTGGACTTAGAAATGGAACACCTTCTGGCTACGGAGAGCTGGAAGTGTTAGCTGCCCAGCTGGCTGAAGGTCTCCTGCATCAGCAACGATGCTTTACCAAGAAATATTTTTAAAAAATCGAAGTACATGAAGACACAACTGCGCAGCTCATCAGCACAATTCAGCTGCGGTGAGCCATCAGAGCAAGTCGCTTCTCCAGACAGAGACTTTGGTGTTGCTGGAAGGGCACCATCCGGGCAGGAGGGGGGTCATCAGATCTGAGAGCCCAAGGATGAGGGGGGAGCTAAGGCGGTGGGACCCTGAAAGAGTCCATGGGGATGAATGTGTTCCATGAACATGGAGTGCTGACTGTCCCTGGCATGGGGAGACGGGAAACTGGGCGGGTGGTGGTGGGCGGGCAGGGAGCCGCATGAAGCATCCAGGAGAACAGTGTGGCTGGAGGGTGGGATGCAACCACCCCATCCTACAATGACTTGTGGCATTTTTTCACTTATTGACCCTTGAGCCAGGCTATTAGCAAGGAGGAGGAGGAGGAGGAACTATCACAATGAGGAAGGAGAGGGGAAGTCCGGAATGGAGATTGAATAACTGACATTCTCCGCAAAAGAAGCCTGACGTGCGCACACAGTCACCCAGAATGTCCAAACTTCCTGACTCCAGTTTCCTCTCCACCGTTTTGTTGGTGGCAGCCACAATAATAATAAAAACAATATTTCAAAACTCCAGCACCTGCCTGGCTCAGGAAATGATTTTCCAAACTTTACTTGCCTGCAAATTTCCTGCTCAGGGAAACAGCTGGTTTTTTACGTGCGCAGTCCGACTGGGGATGACGACGATGGAGCTGCCCCTGATCTGGAGGCCAGTCCTTCATCCACCCTTCCTCTTCTCATAGTTGGATGTTTCCCTATTCTCCCCCCCCTCCCCCAACCACCGTCCTGCTTTAGCAGAAGGATGCTGGGGGCAGTTGCATCCATTCACAATACAGAGGTAAACTCAAGCAGGACAGGCTTAGCCTGAGAAGATAAGATTCGACCAAGGGTCCACCCTAGGATCCTGCCTCCAACAGGGGTCAGCCAAGAGGCCCAGGGAAACCTACACGCAGGACATGAACGAGGCAGCAGCTCTTCTGCCTGCAGGGGAAGGATGCTGTGCCATTTTGCGTGGTGGAAAAGTGGCCCGAGAGGAGCAGCATAAGAGCACCTCGAATGGGAAGGGCCGAGGGAAGAGGGCTCAGGAGCCGCTTCCCACCCACACGCTGCTCTCTCACTCAAGAGGATAAACTCTCCGAACCAGAAGAATATAAGGCAAGCCCTGCTGGATCAGACGCAAGCTCCATCTAGGCCAGCATTAAATACACTTGGTAGCAAAGCATCTGCCCACAGGATCCCTCAGGCAGGATGGGGGCAAGACCGCCCCTTGCCCAAGCTCCTCAGCAGCTGGGGTGTGCAGGCAGGGCACCTCTGCTGAAGGAGGGGGCCCAGGGCCAGCGAGGCCAGTAGCCACGGGGAGCCTCCTCCCCCGTGAACCTGCCCAGCCCCCTCCTCAAGCCACCAGACTGGCGGCATCCCCGCTTCCCGTGGCAGCAAACTCCGCTCTGCACCGTGTGAAGGGCTCCCTCTGCTCTGACCCAGACCTCCTGCCCCTCGCAGGTAGCTTCCCTTTTGCCTCGTCAGGAGGGCGTTCTGAGGTCTAGCAAAGGTGCGTCTGCCTGACACGCACGTTCCAGTCAAGGCTTGGAGCAGTGCAGCACGGGCGATTTCGGAAGTGCTCGTCACGGCAGTCCCCGCAGCCACAGCTGCAAAAAGGGTCCAGAAATTGGACCCCGCCGTTGAACACCCCGCAGTTGTTAGGGGTAAAAGAGGAACCGGGTTTGGGGCTCGGAATCCATTGCCCTTCCTCAGCTTGGCTCCCCGGACTCCGATCTGCTGTCTCTTTTCCCTGGCTCTGCCTCACAGTCTGATCTCCGCTCAGCTCACTTTGCAGCCGGAGCCGAGCATGGGAAAGCCATCCGGGGAGCAGGGGAAAGCTGCATCCTGGCCTGACCCTCCCCTCTCTAGCAGCAGTGTTGACCAGCACACCCAGCGGCTTCTGACTCCACCAGGGCAGGTCTTCTGCAAAGCTCGTGAGTCTTAGCTGCTCACTCATGACCAGCTCCACCAAAATTCACTGCATTCGACAGGGTCGATTTATGGTTGCTGGACAAACTGGGCCATAGCACCTTAGCCTGAAGCGCCTGATCCTGCCTAATCCTGGCAGCTAAGCAGGGTTGGGCCTGGTTGAGACCTGGATGGGCGACTTAGTTGTTGTCAACTGCCCAGAAAGCTTCGGCTATGGGCAGCATAGAAATGTATTAAATAATAAAAAGGCACTATGATAGAAGAAGGTTCACTTTCCAACTCTTTGAGAGCCAGGGTGGCGCAGTGGTTAAGCGCATGGGGCTGGGACTCCGGCGACCTGGGTTCTGGTCCCCGCTCAGCCATGGAGCCCACTGGGGGACTCTGGGCCAGTCACAGCCTCTCAGCCCAGCCTACCTCACGGGGTTGTTGTTGTTGTGGGGATCAGATGGAGGAGGAGGATGATGTCAGCTGCCTTGAGCCCTTTGCAGGGAAAAGGCAGGACATAAATCGAAAAATAAACGTAAATAAATACATAAATAAACCCTTGCCTACCTTCATGATGTGGCTTCCAGCTAAGCTGGGAGGGAAGAAGGGCACCTACAGATGGAATCGGTGGCAGGGACGGCATCACCCCAGCTAGCCCGGCCTCAGCTCCACCACGCAACCTGCACTCGGCCGCCCAGCCTGAGCTGATCAGACCAAGAACCCAGCTGGGTCCCGTGTTCTACAGACGCCCTTCCACAAGCAGGACAAAATTTGCTGCAGAAGTGCCTGGCTCCATCCACATCCTCTGGGACCTCAGACCTGCATCGGTCTCCATCCCCGGGAGTTGTCTGATGAGATGGTGTTGCTAGCCAACGGTGTTTTCCGGGCAAAGTGACCGTCCCCCATCCCGAACGGTGCAGCTAGCGAGGCGCAAGCAACAATGGGAAGGAAGCCATGGATGGGAGACGCAAAGCAGGGCTGTGCGTTGACTGCGGGCGGCTGAGTTTGGCATCCGGGGGGATTTCCAGTGCTGCAAAGTGCAGGGACTTCCTATGCAATTTGGCACAACGGGATGGAAAAAACACCTTGCTTAAAATAAAGACGTTCCCAGGAAGAAACCAGGAGGTGTTAAGGAGAATGGTTCTCAGATGCCGAAACGATTTAATTTCCTAATGTGCAGCCTCAGAAGCTTGGGTGGGGGGGCGGTCATGCATCCCCCCCCCACCCCGCAGTCACAATGACAGCACTGTAAGGTAGGCTTGGCTGAAAGAGATGATGGGCTCAGGGCACCAGAAGTGTTCCTACAGTCCTTTTTTCATTGTTTCAGGGATTGGCAGGAGACTTTCGTTCTATTGTCTTCCACTGACAGAATCAGATTTTGCACAAATGCATTTGGTACACATTTCCATAAATTTAACCCACACTAGCTCAGACTGCTAGTGAGAGCAATGGACTAGTCCTCATTGAGGTACAAAACCTCTTTCTGCGTGGTGCCAACTAAAAAGAAGTAGAGAGGCTTACATGACTGGAAACTTTCTCTGGATACAGCATACCAGCATGTCACTGAAAGTATTCTGATCTAAGCTTGTTTTCCAGACTGATGGATGGATTGGCATAATAGAGTATTTGGCGGAAAAGCTCACAAAGCAAACTGAAAACTTACAACTGTAGAATAGAAAGTCAGCAAGATGAAAGCATTGAAAATGACATCACATAAGACAGGGGGAAAATGCAAGAAAAAGGTACGAAAAAGAGAAAAATAAGCAGCACTCCTTTTAATCCTGACATGCTAGCTTTCTAGGTCAAGGGACTGCTAGTTTTGAAACAGATAAGCATGCATCTTAAGCTCTTTCCTGCAGTCCAAAGCAATGCTACATGATTTCCTTCCTGCTCTCCAGTGAGTTCTGCACCTGGTGCCTCCAATTAAATACTTAACAAATGGATAGCAATTGAAGAGAAAGACCCCCCTTGAAGTGGGAAACCTCTGTCAAACAGACTATCCCCGCCATGAACTGGCGCCTTTCACACAGGCTGGACCACAATTCGCATCGCGCCCACCCAGCTTGGTCTGAGACGGCTTCCCACGTTTTTGTCTCTGGACCAAGATAAGGTGATCTTCAGCGTCCACTACGGAGATGCTGCTCCCCCCGCCCCCCAAGTCATAGGTCACGCATGGGACATCACTGACCTTCACCGTTCTCCCGGCCTCTGTTCCTGCTGTTTTGGAGAGGCAGCACCTCCAGAGAGTTAATCCCGGAGCTTTCGAGGACGTTCACCTCCACCCGCAACTTCCCCACCAGCTGCTGGGGTCGGATGCTGACTGTGTACTGATACTTCCCCAGCCGCCGCTGCAGCAGCTCCTCGTAGTGCAGCAGAAAGGAGGCTTCCGTCTTCCGGGGAATCACTCCAGAGGCTCTGAAGATCTCCACCCCGTTTTCCCTGGAGCCAGGAGAAGCGAAACGCGTGGTCACCGAACACACGCATCTTTTCCCAGCCCGCTTCCCGCCACTTGCTGGGATGTGAAGGGACCTGTTTTGGCAGTGGGAATCCCACAGAGAGAGTCCATGGGCTGGGCTGCCTGGACTCTGCGCCCCTTGGCTGCAGCCATGGGTTCAAGACCCTGCTGAGAGTGCCACTCGGGAATCGAACCTTGCACAAGTGCTGCACAAGCAGTGTCCCTCTTCCACATGCTGGGAAATTTCAGATAAATCCTGGTGGGAAAACGTTGCTTATATGTGCCTTTGTGTTATAAAATCACAGAGACACTTCTTTCTCACAAAGCACCAGCTTTCCAAGCCAGGTTGCTGTTTAGCGTTGCTGTTGCCTTAAGAAAAGGGCATTCTTAGCTAGACTGAGAAGCTGCTGGAGGCCAGTACTGTGCAGAGCTGAAACAGTGGTGCCCATTTGCTTCTGAATGGGCCCACCTGAGTCCCACAGAGGCAAGCACCTGCGCAGTGCAGCTGTCAAACCAGACTTCCGAAATGGCTCCTCCATCAGACACATTTGCATGTTTCAGCAGACACACCGGCTGACCTGAACTGTCCAGAATTTGCTGGACTGACCTATCAATAAAGCAATCAGTAAAGTTTTCCATACTATTGTTACCAGCATTTCTGATTGGTTTAGAACTTTATGTCATGGCAACAGGATGCTCTTGTACTAAGATTATCTGGAAACGTAACACTCTGCATTGGTGCATGTGACTCGCAGGTTATAAAAGTGTTGGTACATGGGCTGTGATTTTGTAGCTGAGTTTACCTCCACCCAGTAATATATTATCCTTGGTGACTGCAGGTACTGGGGCACCGGTCAATACAGCAGCAGAGGTGCGAACGGTTGAGCATTCCCACGGACCCGAGTTTTTCTTTCCCCCTCACAAATTAAAAACCGAGATTGTCACGCATCACATGCTGAAGCCCTTGCAGCATGTGCTGCAGAAGAAGATGGCTGCTTGTGCGACCGTCACCCCACAAGAGCTCACAGGCTTCCTCTCCGCTCTGCTTACTTTGTAAGACTGGGCTGAGCAGGAGTAGAAGTCCATGAACGCTCGAGGGAAGGATCCACAGAGCTTCACTGCAACCCTGTTCACCTGCTGGGCCAGCAGGGAGGATATGCGAGGGGCTGGCTGGGTTGCCCTAACGCCCGTGTCTGGGCGCTTCCTGGCCTTCAGGCTAAGATCACCTGTAGGCTCCCTGACAGACCCCCTTGCCCAGATCCCAGAGACAGGGGCCTCCCTTTCTCAACCTGCTCCAGCGAAAAGCCGGATCGCCGGCATGGCAATGCGGACGACCGGCCGGCGAGGGCATCTGCAGGACAAGCCCTGCCGTGGAGCCAAGCTGCTCCGCAGTGAGGCATGCAGGTGCCTGGGAACTCGGCCAGCACAGGGGCCTGCAGCAAGTCTCTTCGGAAGTAAGGGAGCCCACGAGGCCTGCAGAGGTTGCCCAAGGCTTCTCCAGGACAGTGCCCAGTTACGGTTTTCCCCAGGCAAAAGCAGGGCGACCTGCCAAGCACTGGAGGACTTTGCCATGGGCACAGCGGGCCTTGGGGGCTCTGCTAGCTGGATTCTGGTCTCGTCTCGTTCCCGGCCACCAGTTTGCTGTTTTGAATTGTTTGTTGCTGGTTCCCTGAAATGGATTTGCCTCTTCAAACTGCTGATTGGTGTGTGCTCAGCATCTCAGCAACCATGTCCCCATTGCACACCCTTCCCAAATCCTTAATCAATCTTCAACCCTGTTTTCAGCAAAAGCCAGAGGCGTACTTTGGCTCTGAAAGCAGGGAAGGGCACAAGTCCGTGAGCTGAGCACAATCTACTGACCAGCTGTGCTTCCCAAAGGACACAAGCCGGCTGCCAAGGACCCCCGCGGGATTCTTAGACGTTCCCAAGGGACCGAGAGCATTTGAGGAGGGAGACAGGAGATGTTCACTCTCGCTGGCGGGCCCCCGGTGAAGCGGCCTACAGAGGAGGTGGCCAGATCACCACAAGTATCTGCTTAATAATGACTTTGCCCCCAAAACCATTGGAAAGGGGAGGCCTTGCGGGGGAGAGCAGGAAGCAGCTGCGGGAAAGCCAGTCCAAGAGTTTTGTCTCAGAGCAACTCAAGTATCCAGACAACAGAACTTGTTTAGTCACCACATTTAAGCCAGTCGCAGACCGGCTCCGTGGCTCATGGCTACCTGCAAGAACGCTTCTCTCCCAGAACTCTCACAAATGCTCATTCCCGGGATTCTTCACCCTTGAACTACTTTCAAAGAGCTTTAAGTATATATTGATGCATCCCCTCGACTTGCTGCCTGGCCTTCCTTACTTTTCTGAATTTCTACTCCCCGTCCAGCCAATCAGAACCACCAACAGCTCCGTCCCCACTTTCACCTCCTCCTCAGAATGGGATCAACCTACGGGCTGCTCCTTGAAATTGTCTCCACCGCTAGCAGTAGATTGCCAGATTTCATAGTGGACTCTAAATTTGGGCTTCATCTGAAAGACATCCTCGCATGCCAGTGGTGTTCAGCTGCTCATCCGTCACCACTGATATTCATCCCTGTAAGCACATGTCGCCTTTTCTCTCAAGAACTCCAGAGGAACCCCAAAAAGGACTCTTCTGGTTGGCCAGAAAAGCCCCCCAGGACAATGCAGGACCTACCCTTCATCTGTAGGTCTTGAATATCTGTTCTTTCTGTCTGTGTCCTCATGCTTCCGCTGCCTCCCAGTCACTTCCCCATGGTAGACCCTGTCACCAATAAACCTGGAGATGTGAAAGAGCAAATATTTATTTATTTATTTATTTATTTATTAATTAGAACATTTCTATGCCGCCCCTTGCCGAAGCCTCGGGGCAGCTTACAACACAATACAATACAATACAATACAAAAATAACAATATAAAATTAAAATTAACAATATAAAATAAATAAAAAATATAAAAGATATAAAAGAAGTTATAAAAGAAAATATGAACGTTAAAAGGTGGAGATACAATGGATAGCAGCTCAAAAATCAGATATAAAACATGGAAAGGAGGACCAAAGTATAAGCAATGCAGAAGTCTGTGATGTGTCTTCCAACTACCTACCTACCTACCTACCTACTCCTTCCTTCCTTCCTTCCTTCCTTCCTTCCGTCCGTCCGTCCGTCCGTCCATCCGTCACGGGTCCTTTCTCTGACTGCCACCTTCCAGGGAGACTCGGAGGGGGGCAACCAGGAGAAACACCTTTCTGGTGGTGGCCTCCCCAGTTACGGAATGAACTCTTCCCCAAGCCCCACCGGGTGCCAACTCCACTATCTTTCCAGTGCCAGGTAAAGACCATCCCCCACTGCAGGGCATGGAATCAGTTACAGGGGCCTGCTGGTTGTTAGACTGGATATAACTGGATCTTTTTCATGGACCATTCTTGTTTTTCTGTTTTTCATTCGGTTTTAAATTTTGTAGCACCAATTTTAAGGATGCTTTAATATGCTTTCATCGGTATATTTTATATTCTTTTTAACTACATTGCTGTGACCCGCCCAGAGAGCTTCAGCTGTTGGGCTGCATAGAAATTAAATAACTAAATGAACAAGCCCGAATCCCATTCTCTCACTCAGACCACTCTTGCACAAAAACATGGCTTATTTCTAACAATTTGCATCTATATATGCATCCTCCGGGAGCCCTCAGTGAAGGAAATTAGGAGGGTGGTTACTCGGAGGAGGGCTTTCTCAGCGGTGGCGCCCAATCTATGGAATGCGCTCCCCAGAGAGGTCCGCCTGGCGCCGTCGTTATTTGTTTTTCGGCACCAGGCGAAGACCTTTTTATTTAAGCAGCATTTTAAATGTTAATACTATTGAATTTTATTTGGCCAGGGCGGCTTATTTTATTCTAATGTATATATTTTAATTGTTATTGTCTTAATTTATTGTGTATTTTATTCTATGCTGTGAGCCGCCCCAAGGCTTCGGCAAGGGGCAGCATAGAAATGTTTTAATATATATATATATTTGCCCATGCAAATATTATGCAAAAGCAGTGAGCTTGTTCTGTCCCTTGTCTTTTGGCAATTCACCTCCCCCCGCCCTGCTTTTAGGCAGGAGCCCCTGAATTCCACTGCCCAAGATACACACCTGCACCTAGACATGTTATAACCTGGCCAGTTCAGCACCCAAGGCAGGGCAGGGCAGGGCAGAAAAGAATAAGGAAAAAAGACCATCCCACATCTTAATTTCTGGTTTTTGGTACTCACATGGTAAAATTGGAGATGAAGGCCGTGACAGGTATCTGCATCTCGAAGATGCCTTCCCGGGCCTCGGAGCCACTGTTCACCAACGTGCAGGAGACGGTGGTAAATGCATAGCGAGACAGGATGGTGGCTCGCACGGAGAATTCAGACATGCGGGGCCGGGTCTCCTGTTGGAAGAAAGCAGCTAGTCCTCAGTGGTGGGACGAGTTAAGGCAGCCCTGGCCATCGACTGCGCCCCGTTAGCTCCAGAAGCATTTGCCTGCCCTTCCTCTTGATTGCCAGGTCAACATCTGCACAATAAGCCAGGCATCTAAGAGGCTTTGGTGTATATTTACCCAAGGTGGGGTCCTGTTTTGCAGCCGCAAATTGCTTGCCAAGGGGACATCAGGATGCGCTACCTTCCTTTTTAAAAATTTATTTCTTCAACAAATACAAATACATAGAAGAAAAGATAGAATAGAAAAAAAACTAATATAAACAGATTAAATAAACAAAGCGACCCAAGCGGCCAAGGGAATGTTGAACAAATACAGCCTATGACTTAAGACCCTCAAAACTAACTCTCTTCCTATCTCCCCACGCTCTGTGAGAGTTTACAAAAAAGAAATCATTAATGTATACAACAGATTTTCTAATCAGTTCAAGTTCTGCTACTCTCCCTTTTATTTTCTAAGCTCTTCTGCACTTCCATTAGTCATGCTGAGCACAATAAATTTTCCATTTATCATTAAATTCTTCTCATGGTCTTCTATTTACAGGATGTGCTACCTCCCTTGACCTCCAAGATGGGAACCTTTAGCCCTGTGGGTTTTGTGGACATGACCGGATGGAAGTGACGTTTACAGGGAGACCGGTGTGTGACTTGAGCACAAGGACACAACCTCACATCTGGTCCCCCCGGAGTTCTAATCCAGTCCCCCAACCACATATGGCCAGACCCCTTTCCCTGCAAGTGTCAGCAGTCTGGTGGTTTCTTGGCTTTTGTGATGCTTGCTTCCCGTGTTCCAGAAATGCTTCTTGGAGGAGCTTGAAGCCAGAAACATGCTGGCATTTTCAATCCCACCTCTTCCAGATCGTCTCTGCAATGGGATGTCTTTGGAGAACACATACAACACCCTTCAAAGTGTCCCTTTGTCCAGAAAAGTTGTAAGCAGCTGTGCCTTCATGGCCTTGTGCCCTTTTAGTCCCTGTGAGCAGGGTGAATGTCTGCATAGGATCAATGGGAGAATTTTAAATCCAAGGAAACTTTAGAGGTCTTCTAGTCCACTCACAGAAACATAGAAACAGAGCGAGTCAGAAGGGGTCTCCCGAGCCATCTAGTCTGACCTCCGGCTCCAGCCGGCTCTGCTCATGACATGCCCACCAGGTGCATGTCCAGCCACTCCTTGCCTAGTGCAGGTAACTTTCTGAGAAATGGCCACCCAGACTCTGCAAAAAGAGTCTAGCAAAGAAGACAGAGAGAGAAACACCCTTGGGGGTGAGTCAAAGTGATAAAGTGGAGAAAAAAGAGGGAGGATGAAGCAAGGACCCAGAGAGCTTTAAGGCAGAATCCTATTCATGCTTAGATGAAAAATATGAATAAATGTGCATAGGAATATGTCTTAAAAGCACGACCAGGGTTGTCCAGAGTTTTCCAGTCTAAGCACTGAGTTCTGCTTTCGAAAGCTCTTGCGAGCTATCATGCAAGGTTGGAGGTCTGCAGTGGGAAGGGGGCAGATCTGAAATACCCCAAATAGTAGGATGTCGTAGGTTAACACTCTCCCACCAGTGACTAGGCCTTAAGGGAGGCAATTTACCCCTTTCAGAATGGGGTGTGGGAACTGCACTGAAGCCAGGAAACTGCTAAAAAAAAATTGCAATCAGAAATTGGGACGTGGGTTTTAGGAAACAGTGTAGGGGAAGTCTGATGCCAAGAAGGCCAGGTTTCATCTTCAGGATCTGAGGTTCAATGGTCCTGGCATGAGCGACATTCCACCAAGTTCAGAAGGGAAAGGGAAGCCATGAAGTTTCAACTTATCATACTGAACGAGTAATTTCAGCAGCAGGCTTTTGGGGGAGAGGTGAGAAAGTCGAGGGGTGAAAGGCATGCATTTTTACATACTGATTTGGTGGCTTTGATTCACATGATGATACTGAGAAGGGCTTTGCTCTTTTGTTTGCTGCAGGGTATAATTGAAAGATAAACCTTTGACAGAGTTTTAAAAACTTGGTAATGCTTCCCTCTCCCTGCAGAATGTCCTCAACTGAAAGTTCACCAGGAAATATGTTGCTATTTTTAAAACATTTATTTGTAATATGTTCAGAATGTTTCTTCCCTATTTCAGACGAGACTTCAAAGAGGCACAAGAAGGGCAGGGCTTTGAGCTGTGGGGAGGACTTCCTAACCGAAAACTGGAGCCAGGAATTTGCCAATGCTGCCTATGGAGAAATAGTAATATGCACAGAGCTACTACTTACCAATCTCTGCAGAAGCCTGACATGTCTTGGGAGTCTGCGTGCAACCTGTAAAGGAAAAGATCCTGTTATGTCACATTTTATGTTATGTTTTGCTTGGGGAAAATGTGGCGGGTGGGATGATCTGTTGCATCAGCTTTCAAACTTTCTGCCACCATGGAAACATTTCTGCATTGATTGCTCTACTTCGGAGAAGCCACACGCATCCTTTTCTCTGGCCTTGATTCCATCACCGGGTCTGAGGAAGCCAGAGGGAGAGAGGGCTTCATGTAGTGATCCGGGCTGGAATATGTAGCCTTACCAGAGTTTTTGGACTGATGCAGTCACCTGCTCCACACTGTAGGAACCCACAGAATTGGACAATGGCCCTTTAAGAAGCAGAGAGCTTCTCAGAGAAGGAGGAGTGAGGAGCAGGTCTGCACTTGCCACACTTTAGAGGCCTCTGCATGTTGCTGAGACGACAGCTCTTCCTGAGTGAGTTCCAACTGGCACAGATCGGCCCAGGGCCTCACTTAATTGGACTGGATTCCATTTCTGCCTTCTAGTAGGTGATCTGTTCAGATTGGCTCCCCATGAACCTTGAGCCCAGCTGGGCAGAGCAGTCTCCAACATTTCATTGGTGGAGCAAAGCAATCGACCTTACACCAGTCAGACTCTTTGTCCATTCTGAGCCAGACTGGTGGGCGATCTACCCTAGATATTGTAATGCCTACACAAGTTTCTCCCACCAGCCTACTTGTCTTGCACTATTTCTGACACATCTTCCGGATTTCTTCAGAAATAACATGTCTTTTCCCTATGTTGTATTTTTCCCCCTGGGTATGTGTGAGTGTGTGCTAAACCTGTGGTACATTTCTGGGGATGGGAGAAGCGTCTTTAGTTGTCTGGGGATGATGAGTAAGGGGAGGTACCCTACTGGGACTTTGGCAAAACTGCAGTCAGTGGGAGGAGATCCTTCAGTAGCTTTCCAGCCACCTTCCCTCTCTCTGCCTCGCAATGTTGCTTTCCCCTTCCCCTCACCTGTCCATCAAATGAATAAAATTTGCAATGCCTTTTAAACTTGAAGATGCATGCCTACTCAGAAGTAAACCATTCTCTTCCGTGGCCTTATCAGAAGTGAATCCCATTGACTTCAACGGAGCCGGTGGGCAAGTCAGCACAGGACAGCAAAATCCGGACGTGTCTTCTCTGTGATTTTTTTGTGAGGGGCAGGAGGAGCTGCCTGTTCATCCCTCCCTTGAAATATTTTCCACTCCTTCGCATAGTTAATGGAGCTAAAGAATAAGCACCTGGAGAAACAGATGAAGCTTAACGGGCCGTTCCCCGTCACACATCCCCTTTGCAAAAGCTCCGGCTTCTCCCGCAAGACAATTTGTGCGTGACACAAGATCCGTGTTCTCAACACTGTGTTGTATTCAGGAGCATGTGCTCCCACAGTGATGTGTTGTCGTGTTTTGCATAAATAAGGCGGCAGGCTGCTTCCAGGAACAGAAGCAGCTCTCACGCAGAGGTCCCTTGGGTCTTGTTCCCACCATTTGCTACCTGTGCCCTCCAGCAGGAGTTGCAAACGATTCCACTTACAGCTTTCTCCATGCAAAGCATGCACACAACTACAGAGCTGCGACCTCTCTCCAAATGCAAAATTCACATTTTTGCCACAAGGGAAAATTAAAAAGGCATTCACCTGCCGCTGCAAAAAAAGGCAGGAAGGCATCAGGCGGACCTCCCTGGGGAGGGCATTCCGCAGCCGTGGGGGGACCAACAAGAAAGTCCTTTCCCAGGAGCCACTGGTCGCATCTCTTTTAGCAGGGGAACCCGCTACCTTCACCCTGATGGTCCCGCACTGGTGCCCCCTGAATTGATTCCACACCTCCAAAGGTTTTTCACTGTCTGCTGTTTTCTTTAATTCTGCGACACACTCCCCCTTGTGGCTTGGTGCCAGAGCGTTAGCAACCTGGTGACGAACACCTTTGCATTTAAGAATCGTTAATGGGATGCATTCTTGTGGACTAATTGCTGGCACACTGTAGAATGTCCTTCAAGAGGGCAGATGGTGCCGTCGTATGAACATGCTGCCAGGAGGTGCCAAGGCGTCCCAGAGAGGAATTGGTTTTTCTAGGTATTTTTGCTTAAAAGAAATAAGCAATTTCTTCCTGGCTTATTGACTGTCATGTCCTACAAAGCAGAGGACTAGAACTGCTTTTAGCCTGAGGGTGGAATTTGGTTTTGGAGAAACCCAAAGAATGATACCTTCACTATTTCCCCAGTCCATTTCGTCGTTCTCCATGCTGAGAGAGATGCAGAATTCCTTCCAGCATGGGAAAGCCCATAAGCTATGCTGATTAGGGATGATGGGAGTGCTAAGCCAAAACATCTGGATGGCCACAAGGTGCCCACCTATGAGTTCACGTTAACTATTCATGGATTTCAGGGATGTGCATCTGCCATGTTGTCAAGTTTCTGTCCCCAGTCATGAGGTCTAGAAACTTGCTGATTCCTGTAAAGAATTGGGTGGGGGGAGATGTTTTGTACATCAGGAAGCATAACCTGTTCCAGGTTCTTGATTATGCATACACACATTCGGAGACCAGCTAATTCCCTGATCAAAACTGTAGAACAGAATTTGATTTGGCCTGCCAGGGTATTGCTGCGTTCCGCCTTAGTTTGGATGCTGGATAGGAAGGAATGGAGCTAAAGCTTGGGAGGCCCTCGGCCCTTAGCCAGCTCTCCTTGAGAAGCAGAATCACTTTTTAGTATATAATTTTTTTGTATGATTTTGTTTGTTTTGTTTTTGTTGTGAGCCGCCCCGAGGCTTTGTTGCGATGGGGGCGGCATAGACATGGTTTAAATAAAATAAATAATAAATAAATAAATCAAATACAAAAATAAATCAAGCCAAGAGCCAAGAGGACATTCTGAGTTTGCAGATTGCATCACCAGCTGGTTTTGCTCCTGTATTCCACGCTGTGGCAGTCGCCACATTGCAAGGATGCCTCCGGCTGCCTTTGGGAGGTTTCTAGGAAACTTCAGTCAGTCCAAAATCCTGTGAGATGGATGTCGAATGGGTCCCTTCTCACCCATTTTGAACACCATCACTGGGTGCAAGCCCAGTTCCAACGGCTGCTTTTGCTTTCGAAGCCTTAACATTTGGGTTCCAGCCCTGGGAGTAAGAAGAAATTCGGATATCTTGGCCTTAGGCTCCCCAAAACAGTGTGGTGTAGTGGTTAGGGTGTTGCACTGGGACTCAGGAGAACCAGGTTTAAGTCTCTATTCATCCACAAAGCCCACTTTGGGCCAGTCTCTGACTCTTGGCCTAACCTACCTCACAGGGTTGTTGTGAGAGTAAAAGGGAAGGGGGGCATGTAAGCTACCCTGTGTCCCTTGCCAGAGGAAAAACTGGGAAATACATGCAATACTATATATAATTTGAAAATTTTAAGCTGGTGATGTGCCATTTTCCCTCCAGGAAGCTCCTGAAGGGCTGAAAAGACAACAGTGGCAAATTACTCAAAAGCAAAGCTCACAGCAAATGCAGCAACCCAGCCGTGCAAAATGACAATCCAGACCTGTGACATCACTGCCACAGTAGCGCAGCAAGATGCAATATTCTGAAAAAATGCACTCCTTTCTCTTTTATTCTGTAAAAGTTGTCCCCTCCCAGTTTCTGTACATGTGATGCATGCATGAAAGGACTTGCCCGATTCTTTCTTCCCCATCCAACAAATGAGATCATAATTTGCATCATTTTGCAAAGGCTATTAAAGACCATCTGGTCATAGGGTTCAACAAATTTTCTCAGTGCTTCCAATATGTGGAGAGCAAATGTCTCCGCTCCTCTCAGCATGATTGGTTGCAAAGACCCAGAATGTAGAAGCAAATCTTCCCATCCGAGAAGATATGCTTGGACTGCGGAATCATTCCCCTAAAAATTAAATACTACATAAGTTATCTATCTGGAAAAATGGGATCACGCCCGCTATTGATAGATTTTGGTCCTAAATGTAAACGGTATGATAAGTGACGGGTCCTGTCAGTGAGGAAATATTTTTATTTGTGGAAAAATAAAATAAAAAAATAAATAAAAAATGTTGTGGTCACAGCATCAACCTGAAGGGAGAAAGAACGCTTCTCTCCCTGCTACCAATACCAGCCCTGCAAGCCCGCCTCTGGAATTTAATTCAGCAGGGGCTTTGCTCACCTATGGTTCTTGCTGCTAATTTGTATATTCTGAAATAGCCCTTCTGCCCATCAGAGAGGCAATTTTATGACTGTTTATAGGAAGTCTGGAATGCCAAGATCCTGGAGGAAATGTAAGTATTCCCCAGTGTCAAAACATAAGTGACCTTTTGCATCCTTTCCCACTGACGGTGGACAAGAAAGGAGTAGAGAAAAGGGCAGTGATTCGGGATATACGCTAAAAGAACAGGCGGTGGGGAAGGGAGGTGTTTCTAGGTGAAACTGAACCCAGCAGGACCAGCGCCCTTGGGAAAGTTATGTGCAGAGGGGTCATGTGTGATGAGGCAAACATGGGATTTCCAAGCCCGAAAGGCAGTGTGGTGGAGTGGTTAGAGTGCTGGCCATGGACTTGGGAGCTGCAGGTTCAAACTGCCACTCAACCACAAATTTGGAAGCTGTCCTTCAGCCCTTCTCCCCAGTGCTGGTTCTGATACACCCGAGCAGGTCCTCTGCCATGTCCCATCTGTGGAAAGACATTACTCGGGTACAAAAGAGAAGGGCCTTCTTTGGAGTGGCCCCCAATTAGGAAATGACCTTCCGAATGAGGTAAGCCTGGCGCCGATTGCATTAAACACGCCGGGTTATTTCTCTCATTTTTATGGCACTGCTGGAGAATCAAAGCCATCGATGAGAGTCCTAAGCAGAGTGTTTGGATCCCCGTCCTGGGGTGGCTGCCAAGACCCCTGGCCAAGAGCTCAGCGGGCTCACGTCACCGGGAGCCTCTGCGTGTGCCGAACTCGAGCGCGGTCCTGGCCAGCCTGCCTGGTCAGCGACATCACGGGAAACAGCCCGTCAGCTGACAGAACCTGGCTTTTGCAGAGCTTCAGCCTGGGGAACAGCATTCCCTTGCGGATTATCCGTGTGATACGGGGAAAAATGGGGCCAAATTAGATGGCCGGGCCCTTTTGCTTTCTCGTCCTCCCCACACAAAAGACACCTTACACGTGCACACTCCCTTCTCCAAAATAACTTCCTCTTCCACAGCACTTTTGGGCCATTTCCTAAGCTCCTCATTCTCTCCCCTGTCGCTCCTCATTGTATTGGACTACAACTCCCAGCATGCTCCTGCCTTGATCACTGGTTTAACAAACTGCCAGGGATGTCATCTCATCTTCACAACGGAGAGGAATTACTGATCCAGTTTGTCCAGAGCAACTGACCGGCGAGTGCAAGACTGCGAACAGGTCTTCCTTTGGCAATCCACAACACATTCAGGGATATCTCAGAGCAGGGGTAGGTAGCCTGGGGCCTGCCAGAGACTCCAGTTCCCATGTGCCCCAGCCACCATGCCTGATTTTCAGGAATTGTGTACCCTGTATTCTCAAACACCTGCAAGGCACTATGCAGCCTCTTCCTGATCCAAAAGCATCTCGGATTTTAAAACAGCTGATCTAATCCAGAAACAGAGTGTGTGGGTATACCTGGGAACTTCTGAGTTGCCTTCTCGGTTTCTCTTCCACATCACCAGCACACCTCCCTGCCAGCCAGTCAGCCAGCTCCCCTTTGCTTATTTAAACTTTAAAAAATATTACTGCAAGTTTCAGAAAATTATGACAAAGTCATACAGAGAAGCGTAAGAGGAGGCAAGAAAGTAAGAGAAAACATATGCTTTATTTTTATTACTGAATCCTCAAGTGTTCTGTTTAACAGCTGCCCGAATGACAGGAATTAAGCCCTTGGAACATTGCATAGAACTGTCTGTTAAGAATTGAGGCCCACGGAACAGACGTGCCGGGACTGTCTGTAAGCAGGACTAGTTGGACCCCTTCGCAATGAGAATTTCTGTCCTTTCAAAGCAGACTTTTCGCCACAGGACTATGTAAGGGAAACGACTGCTCAGGGCAGCAGCTTCGCATAGAAAATATGATGCAAACCAGCACTCCGACATCACTGCAGGCAATTTATTCTGGCTCTGGGGAGTGGAGCTCACTTCAGTATTAATCCGGCCACGCCATTAGCAATCCAGCCCAGCCCATGGGTTCCAGCGATCGGAAATCTGGTGCCATAAACAGTTTGACTCCAGAGAAGCCCTGTGGAGTTGGGAATGCTTCTCTGACCTAAATATAGATTCAAACTCCATACACTTAAATAACTTTATTGGGGCCAGCTCAAAGCTCATACAAAAACACACGCTTTGAAGATCTACAGATCTCTGCACCAGGCAAGATCTGTACTCCCCCTCAAAAACAAAAAAAAACCCAACCTCTTGGTGGTGAGGTTTATTGGAGGAAGAAAACAACCCAGAGCGATTTGGTGGTCAAGGGGCTAAATTCAGAAACATGTCTGGAGGGAAAGTTGCCAGGAAAAAGCTGACAGCTTTTGAAGGGTTAACCACCACCCCATACTTTCCTGGCCCAAATCACTCCTCCCAATCCCCCCCCCCACCCCTTGGTTGGGGAAAATTAGCTTCTGTCATGTTTGCCTGTAACCTGCCTTTGCTCCAAGCTTTTCCTAGTGAATCATTGCACAGGTCTATTAAGTTAGGTGCTTCCCAGGTGAAGAAAGACACACCTCTGGTCCTACACAAGACCCTAAATAAAGCACAAAGAATCTATGCAGGGATCAGGTTGAAAGGTTAGAGAACAGCCCTCAAATTCCAGAGAAAGGTGCTGCAACTTGCAAGACAAAGACATTTCAAAAATGCGTCCTTCTGTTACTTAGAATGATGAGACCATAAGAATAATTTTGCTGTATTACACCACAGTGCAGTCTTATACCCCATACAATCTTACACACATCTACTCTGAATTACGTCTATTATCTTCAGTGGTCCTACTCTCAGATAAGTGTGCCTAGGATGGTGCCCTACATCAGTGTATCGATAGTGATCCCCAGGCTATAAACCCCCCAGGCACGGCACATCCTCAGCACTTCAGATCATGAAGGTATACTGCACCTGATAATGCAGGTTCCATTTAGCTATACAAGTGAGTACCACAGGTGTTCAATAGGTTTTGCCAAACTGAGGTCTATTGGGGTTCCCTTTGTATGTGGAGCAGTTGCCTCAAGGTGTTCCTTTCCCTTCTCCTTTCCAAACGTTGCAAAAAATGGGATACAGAAGAACACCTGCTTGGATTCTCCCTCCAACTGTTAACAACGCAGGGTCCCCTTAGAGACCAGAACTCTGTCAAATTTACATTTTAGTGGGGTTGCTTGCATAGACAGGAGTTGTTCCTTATGTTTAGGCAAGTTATCATTTTTTTAAAAAAGGTAACCCTCCCCATGCAATAATGCAAAAGGTTATTTTAGTCCCTAGATTTAATGTCTAGGGGAGGGGGCTTCAGACCGCCATGTGTATTCGAGACCCCACTAATGTCTCTCTGCTCCCCCTTGCCAACCCATCTTTCACAAGAATGAAGCTTTGGCCCACCCTGATAAAAACAACTTGCAAAACTATTCTGAGCACGTGTGAATCGCTGTCCTTTGGACACAAGTCATCCAGAGAACCTGCATGGACTCTCAGGATAAACGGCTTGGCCTGCCACCCGCAGCACCTGCTGCCCTCTGGAAGGGCATCTGGGGGGGGGGGCTCTGTTTTGCGGGGGCCCGGTCCTTTGCCCCAGGAATCCGGGCTGCATAGCACCATTGCTCCGTGCTTTTAGAAAGAGCAAAGGCTGTGAAGGCTGAAAAGCGGGTGCCGTGGGACAGTGGGGGTCGGTACAGGTCTGGAACCTCCCTCCCTTCTCCCGGTCCCTTTGCCTGTCCTTGATGGGGCTCCGAACCCAACCAGCAAGCTAGAACCACTGCCATCCCACAATAACAACCACACAGACAGGTTCACACTTACGTTGTCCAGCAGGTTGTAATCCAGAACGTTGGCCTCCCGCAGGTCCCGGGCTAAGAGCTCCAGATCTTGCTGCCCAGAGACGACCGAGAGCGCCCAGCACAGCAAAAAGGCCCAGTTCATGATGGACAGAGCAGCCCAGCAGAGTTGGGGGAACCGGGTCCGGGAGAAGGCAGCGTCCGGGAAAGTTGTGGATTGCTGCGGTGCAGGCAGCCTGCAGCTGACTGGGATGAGGAGAGCATCAGACGGGAGTCCCGCTTGGCCGGCCGGCCGCCTGCCTCACCCTGCCCTCCCCACCCCCCAGATCAGCCCCTCGCCAGAGTTCGTCGGCTAGGCTGGGGTTTCCTTGCTCCAGCTGAATTTGCCAGCAGCCGAGGGCGCGATGATTCCAGCAGCCTGCTGGAATTCCTGATCAGGCTTTGAAGTTCTGCCCCTCTCGGCCAGGATTCCCGGTTTCCCTTCCTCCAGATTCAGCTCAGCCCAGGCAGCACTTCTAAGGTCGAGCCTTAAGGAGGGACAGGAGAGTAATGTGCTCAGCTCAGATTTCGATGCCCGCTTTCCTAATTTGCATGTTTTGAGTCATGCCACAAATCCAAAGTCTGTGATCCTTCAAAATTTGCATTCTCTGCATTTTTACAGTGGCATTCTTCATTCAGAGAAAGGGTGCAGATGTGTATATAGGAGAAACACTGTTTCAAAATAATAGGAGAAATATGCTCGGCAGCAGTGCTCTCCAGAATGAGCAAATTTGCAGAGCCGCGTATGAGAAATGTTTATAAATGTTTGTGTGAGTGTTTAAGAAAACAATCTGAAGGCGCTGAACTTACAAATGAGGAAGCGGAATGGAAAGAGTCATCCAGGTCTAGTTAAAAGCCCTGAATGTGTAAAGTGAGGGGAAGAGGGTGCATTTGAGCATGTGAAGAGTTACCACAACCAATTCCAATAACCTCTGAGGTAAAGGATCACAGCTTCCAGCTCATTGGAATTGATCAGTGCTATCTTAGAAAGAGCAGGAAGGGGACTCAGTGTTTTCCAAGCCCCCAAACATTGGTTGAAAGGGGCTTTCCTTTACATTGTGCAAGGAAAAGTTCAGACCTTTTATCTTTGGGGAATATCAGAAGGATACTTTTTACTTGAATTTTTACTTGAATTTACTTGAATTGAAAAACCCTATTTTGCAGGGCAATTTTGGAGATAAAAGAGAGTGAACCTTTGAACCTTCCTCAAACCAGTTTGGTGGTAGTACGAAATGGTGGCTGCATAGAAAAGGAGTAAATTATAAATAAATCATCCTGCCATTGCAGAAAACTCCACTGGTTCTTGCGAGGAATGGCATGCCCTTCATACCAATCTTCTGAATTGTGCATTAAAAATATATTATTTGTTTTGCAAATTCTTGAAACACTGCAAAGATCATAGTTAAGCATCATGTATGTGAAACAGGAAATGCACATCTACCAGATAACTTTAATTAAATAAATGCTTGTCTGGGGAAAATCAGTATTTTTAATGGCTGCTTTGCTGCATTGCACATTCACAAGTTCAAAACACATCAGTAGAGGAAATGTGCAGTTTTTACACAATGGCAAATGGCCATGCTGGTTTAAAATGCTGGAAGTCCACAGAGGTCGGATGACCTTATAAATACAAATACCTACCTATAACCTGCACTTAACCTTTCCCCCTTTAGAAGAAACAAGAAAACTAAACCTGAGCACAGCCCGCCACCTAGTGGTGCTCTGTGGAAGTACAGCCAATTAAAAAAAGATTCAAGGATGGCTCCTTTTGATATAAATATATTAACCTTTTATTATATTTCTATTCTGCCCACCTGCTGGGAATTTCTGGGTGGCTGGAGTGTCTGAAAACCTGGAAAATTTTTACCTGCTTCAGCTACACCCCAGCGACACCCCTATCTGGATAGAGATAGACTGATTTCAGTAATCCAGGCTCTGGACTTCCCTAGATTACTGCAATACAGTCCCTATGGGGCTGCCCTTGAAGGCTGTTTGGAAGTTGCAGCTTGTGGAAATAGTGGCAGCCAGATTAATAATTGGGATCAGAAGGTCTGGATGCATCAGCAATTCTGGCCTGCTTGCACTGGTGGTCTCTGTGCTTCCAAGCCTAATCCAGGGTGCTAGTTGTAACCTACAAAGCCCTGCATGGCCTGGGTCCATCCAGAGCCTTCAGCCGCTCCCTCCAATGGTGGGCCAGAGGGAGGCAGGGACGAAGGCTTTCAGTGGTGACCTCCCTCCTGAAGCCCGCGGATGCCAATGTTGTCACCCTGCAGGACCAGAATAAGGCTGCCTCCTCTCTCAGGCATTTAATGGCCGACGATGCGGTGCCTCAGCCGTTTTAACAGAACCAGCATCGATCGAAATTGTTTTAGCTGTCCAAAGCACTTTAAATGTTGCATATTGGAATGTTATGCTGTATTCTATTGTCTGCATATTTTAATTTGTATGTTTGTTAGCATACCTGTGTTCATGAGTTGCTGTGAACTGCCCAGGGGGCTTCTGCTCTTGTTTGCTAGAGAAATGACATTAATAATCCAAATAATAATACATGGCACTTGATACTTTAATGCATGCATTTAATAATACATGACCCTATTTACATAATGCAAACCCCCCCCCCAAATGACTTACATAGCCCTCTTCTACTCCACAGTATCCTCCAAACAAGATCCCTGTGAGGTAATTAGGCTGAGAGTCTGTGACTGGCCCAAAGTCAGCCAGTGGGCTTTATGGCTGGGTGGGAACTAGAACCCGAGTCTAACACTGTAACCACTATGTCGTACTGTCTCCCAATAATTTGGTCCCTAGGCCTAAAGCTCCAAACCCCTGCATCACAGGTGTTGGGGGGGGGGGGCTTGGGTGCCCTCAGCAGCTCTTGAAACTTTGGAATAAATAGCTTTGCAATAACCGTGCCTGAGAGTCTTGTTAACAATATTTGCTTATTTATCTGGCCAGGGCGACTTCTTTTATATTTTATATTTTTATTTATTTTATATTGTTAATTTTAATTTTATATTGTTATTTTTGTATTTTATTGTATTTTATTGTGTTTGTATGCCGCCCCTTGCCGAAGCCTCGGGG